TTCCATCTCCACTTGCTGTGAAAATACTTCATCGGGGATGTTTTCGGACGACCCCCACCCTCCTCCCCCCATTGGGCGTCCTGCCCGGCTAATAATAAAGTGCTTGAGTTGTCAAGCGCTTCGGCAACACCCTAATCTGTTCTGACAGCCAGTCCTCCACGCAGGCTCTCGAGCGTCCCGCACACAGGCACATGTCGGCGCGCACGTACAACACACGTCCCACAGGCGTTTGCACTGATGTGTTCTCGTAGGTTCACGGACGGTCCATCAATCAGGCCGTTCATTGGGGTCCCCCGCGGTGACCGAGCTAAAGGTGGCTGCTGCGCGGTGGGAGACAGTCGCCCCCGTTCTAAATTGGTCTCGGGGGCTGTGCACATACGTGCTGCATCTTTCTCAGCTGTTTTATTCAACATGCTAGATGTACAGTAACATGTGAACTGGTCCTGTGCTGTTGAAGGGTCAGTTTACCCAAAATAAAAATAAAAACTTAATTTCAGTGTTCTCTCAAGATGAATATTTTATTTTTCTTTGCTAGTTGAGTGTTTGGATCTAGGTTCAGGTTCAAGTTGAGGTCATTTTTATTTGTAGACTTGGTTTGCAATAGAGGGCGATAGGCCGTAAAGTAGAATCCCGCACCCCCAATATTCATTGTATCAGAATCCATCACTACATTATGACGATTTAGTTGATTCTTAATGCTAACGTGAAAAGGAAATGCATCGTGTTTAGATATTTATGAGTGACCTTTGCTCCAATTACAACCAAACCAAACACCATGAGAAATGATTAAAAAGAAATCACCCTTTAAATTTGTGTGCGATGATATTTCGGCCAAAAGCGGTGTGCGCCTTGCCCACCGACTAACCTCGACAACCAAAGCGAAAGAGTGCCGTCTTCAGGCCGAGGCAGCTGGGAGACCACCCGGCTCATAGTACGCCCTCACCCATCAGTCCTCCCCGGCTACACTCACATAGGACGCCCGCGCGCAGCCCGCGTGGTTCCAACCAACACGGATTGATCATGTGCGTCCGTCTGCTCGGGTCTACGGGTGTGCGTTTGTGTGGCGTGCGTGAGGTGTGGGTGAGAGGGCGGGGGGATCAGTTGCATGGTGTGAAGTTTACGGTCCGGCCCTTTACGTTCTACTGCAGGACATTGACATCCACGCCACCATCTCCGTTTACTGCCTTAGCTTTGTGGGCTTGATCACGCTGATGTTGAGTCACACGCGCACGGATGTTTTTAATTTAGGGGCTTCGGCTTTTTTGAGTTGTGTTATGTTTTCATGCACGGGCGGATTACTATGTGGAATTCAGTTTATTTGTTTCTGAAAAGTAACATCTGTTACATGAAAAAGTTCATTTGCTTTAAATAAAAAGCTTGAGTGAGTCTGCAGTGAGTGACAGCAGAGAGCGAGTGAGAGAGACAGAGAGAGATGATGAGGGGGAGGAGGAGAAGAGGAAAAACAGGGGGTGGAGGCAGAGGAGGAGAGAAACAGGACGAGTGAAATGTTTCCCCATTACTGGGGTGGAGGAAGACAGGAGCTGTGCGCCCGGATCGACCTGAGGAGACGAGCGTAGTTTGCGCCGCTTGTCCAGCCAGAGACAAAGAGAAGAAGACTGCGCTTCCTCCAGAGAGTAAAAGAAGGAGAACAAACCTGACACCTGGAGTACGCGGAGTGAGAGGCAGGTAGATAGAGGGGAGTTGAAGTCCGGAGGAGTGTGTTTCTGGTTGAGTCTGAGGGGAAGCCAGCGGATGGTACAGCTGTGTAATGCTCGGTGGAAGTATCGGACTGCTACCCGAGCTGATTACACCCCGAGGTAAGAAAGAACCTTATTGTGAGTAAACTCACATTTTAAATCAATTACGGTGTGTGTTTCCATGACACTTATTTGCTGGTCACACTTCTGGATGAATAAATGCTGCTGTATGTAAAGGAACGTTGCTAATCCACATTTTTATTCTTTATTTTATGTGTCTGAATGGATGCAATTTTCAGTGCATATGAAATTAAAGGGTTGGTAGGTTATGATGAAGGTACTGTAATTGTTTGAGGGTGTTATTCAAAGTTAAATTTGTTTTCACTTTAACTGTATATTTCAAAACAATTTGTGTAAATGAAATCATATTTAATCATTTGTTCTTCATTATTTTACTTTGACAGTTTTATAATTTTAGATACTATTTCTAAATTGTCATTTTTCCAATTTTTTTAGGAACACAGATCTGTTAATAAAAATATTTAATTTTATGAGCCCCGTCACCAAAAATAAGCAATTCAATTTTATCTTAATTATTAAAATGACTGAACTAATTAATTTGAAAACAACCCTTAATGCTCCTTTTACATTTGCACAATAATTGTAAAAGATATTTTCCTTAAGCCCAGTTGTGTGTGTGTGTGTGTGTGTGTGTGTGTGTGTGTGTGTGTGTGTGTGTGTGTGTGTGCAACTCATCTGCATGGTATCAAATGACCTATTGCAGACGGGTTATTATCAGAAACACACAGAGCTATTCTTCATTCTCTCTCCGTCTCTGCCCCTCTTCTCTTCCCGTGCACTGCTTTAGCAGTTTGCCAGAAACAAAACCACAACCCTTGTCGATGAACCTTTTTTGTCAAAAAGTGGGGGTGAGGTGCAAAACAAGCAAACCCATTTAGGACCTGAACTAAGACCGCTTCACACCTACCGTTTCCTTAATTCTTGGGGCCCAATTAGGCCCTGTGTTATCATTACAGCCATCCGATGATAAATATCCTCAGTTAATAACAACACAAACAGAGCAGTGTTGTAATTCCCTTAAATAAATCCCAGTTATTAGTGCTAATTACCTGGAATGCCTGTATTTATCCCTCAGGGTTTCCCCGTGCCGGCCAGGTTGTGTTCTAGACCGGTCACCCGGCCAACAAAGGTCAAAGGTCACCGATGTAATTGGCTCGGGTGACACAAATGGGTCCTTCAGATATCGTGATGACCCAGGAGTATGCGCTAAGTGGCCCGTCCGTTACATTACATTACGTGTCATTTAGCTGACGCTTTTATCCAAAGCGACTTACTATAAGTGCATCTCAACCATAAGGAGGATACAAACTCAAAGATCAAGAAAGTGCAATTTGATTAAATGAGCCGATTTACAACTTGCTATAGATAAGAGCCATTATAAGTACAATTTAAGTGCTACAGTTTGTTGATCTTTAGTCGTTGTTATTAGAGATAAATCTGGCCTGTTTTACTGATAGATACAGAAAAGGTAATAATGCTGCAGAATATCTGAGTGCAATTAGTGAATGTGAAGAGTTTTGCTGGTCCATTATTTTTCTCTTTAAAAGGGAAGTTTTAATAGGCTGTTTTAATTGGATCCTAATTTTTGGCATACTGGCTCTTGATACATTTCTATTTAAGACAGTTAAAACAAATAGAAAAACATTTTGTCACTGAAAATAAAGAAATGTTTCAGATCATTTGTTTACGATTTCATAAAAAAAAGTGAAATATGCCATGTTTTCATGGAGGCAGATAATAGCAGTGAGAGATGGGAGCGACTCAGAGAAAGTGTGCAACCATAAAAGCTTTTTGGGATCAAAGCCCTCCTGTTTTCACAGATCCTTTTGAGACAGAAACAGACGGACAGTTGTGTGTTTCCCTGTGTGCGAGTGTGTGTGTGGTTGCATGCGGGCGGTGTGCGCACCCCCGTCTGTACGTAGCCCTACGTGTGCGTTACATGTGGCTTGCAGTTTCTCACGGCCACGCTGTTGACGGCGTGACTGACAGCCTTGTTATATTTCAGTAAAGCATGAAACGTGACATGAAAGTGGCATGTGATGCGTGTGTGTCTGTGTGTGTATGTGTGTGTGTAAAGCGATCCATACGAGGGCACGGGCTAACCTCTGAACCCTGCCTTAAACAGCTAAGTGCTGCTTCTATTCGCTCTCAGCAGGATCCTCTAATCTGAACCATAACACCACATCGCACTCCAGAACAGACAGACACACACACACACACACACACACACACACACGCGCGCAGATGTCCTAGTTTCAAAAACATGGAGTTTGGCCGAGCACTTTCTCCGTACACTTACCTGTGATTGCGATAATGTGCAAATTACCTGAATATATGCTGCCTGGGCGAGTTTGTATGTGCATTTCCATGAGCGTGTGCGTGTGTGTGTGTGTTTGGCACCTCGCGCGTGCCCTACACCTCGACAGTGTGTTGACACAGTAATTATAGGGCAGCTGGTACACATTGGCCCTCGCTCCGCCCTGCATTTACTGTTCTAATTAGTTCCTGTTCCAAATAAGAGGGAGGAATTTTAATAGAGAACCGCTGGTCGACCGCCTTGCGCCGCACACCCTCACACACAAAAATCAGCCTGTGTGTGAGTGCGGCGAGTGTGCGCTTCGCTGGAAAGGCGCGGAGGCTGTGTGTGGAGTGTGTTTTCTCAATTTTTTTTTTACATTTATATTCAATGATGAAGGACGATTTTGTGCACGCGGTGATTAGCGCGACGGAATGCCTCGGTTAACCTCCGAGGTCCAGGCTCAATTTAGTGTCAACGGTGAGGCGTTTGAGGGTGAACAGTGAGCCCTGTAACCTGACGTGACCCCACCGTGACCTTCCAACTCTCCAAGGGTTGAGCAAGGGGCCTGAACAGGGTCACGGGTGAACAAGGGAAAGTTCATATCTGTCACTTACATGCCAGTTAGCACTTTCGTCACAGTGGTGGCTACAAATACAGACACGGGGCCTTTGATTTATGAGCATCTCGCCATTGTATGGTACCATTCAAAGACCTTTTAAACGCTATGTCAAATGCATTTCAGGTGATTTAACATCAGTACCCAAGATGTCAGGAATTCATTTTCTCGTTATTCACAACAGCTCATGATACTAGTGTATTTTTTTATAATTAATAAGACTATTTTAGGCCTTTTTATGCATCCCTCAACACTAATGTAATGTGTGTGTTTATTAAATATGTCCTCTGCTCTTGTTTCTGCGCAGGTGAAGAAATCACACAGTGAATCTCATGTTCCAGACCCTTCTGATACCAGGTAAACAACATTAGGTTTCTCAGACGTCTATGTGTGTTTGTACGGGTGTGTTGTCTTATCGTGGGGTAGAAAGGTGAGGTTTCACTGCAGTTGCGAGCTGTAAAGACTTTACTCACTCACAAACACACACACAAGGACATAATGTAAGGGACAAGCAGAGGGAGCATGCTGTACTCAATTATTTGCATATGTTTGTTGATTCCTTCATTAATTTATAGAAAAATAATTAAGTTTTTTCACTGATTGTTTCATTCATTCAAATATTTTCAGATTTGAGCTTTTTTTCGAAATGATTTTTGTCTGATATCAGGGATTGGGGGGTTTAGGGCTTGTGGTTGTCAGCTTGGGCTCTGGGAAGTTTTTTTCATTCATTTATTTTCATTTCATGCGGTAAAAAATGAATGTCGATAGCAGATAAATGAAAAGAGAAAAAGTAATTGTTGAAGTATTTATTTCAAACAACATGCCATTCACTGTGCATTGTGCTAAGCACATTTTTTCAATGACGAGACATAATGCGAAAACCAGAAGGGAGTTTATGAAACACCAAGTGCTGCCATCGCCTCCCGAGAGGAGTGAAACAGAGAGGGAAGGGGAAGAAAAGGACAAGGAGTGGAGACGCAATCATTTCCTGCTGTTGGGAGACAAAAGAAAAGGATGAAGGAAGAGTGCTGAAGCACACAAGAGAGAGATGGAGAGTAATCTGTGAAGGTTATTGCATTGTATAGCAGACACATTGTTCGGCATTCTTTGGAAGTTAGCCTTCGGAATGTGCAAAAGAGCAGTATAAATGTTTAGCTGTAAATAAGAGGAGTGAAGAGTTGACGGAGAGAGTCGATGCAGCGCGTTTATCTTCCGTAGGGTTTCTCTTTTTTCTCCCTTGAGCTCTTTCTTCTCCTCTGAAAGCTGTTTGTATATACCTGTCAGTCCGACCGCGGGGCGCAGTCATGCGCTGCGATGCTTTCGGCCCGAAGCGTTGCAATGGCCAGCTTCCAATGACACAGACGTATTGTACACACTCGCCTTTTCACACACACACACACACACACACAGATCGGTAGGACGGCGGCCCGCATCGAATGGATTCTCCCTCCGTTTTTGTCATTTCTCGCTTTGATGTCTCACACGAGAGCACGAGTGTGACCGACCTGCGGGCAGCTTGAGTCACACACACACACACACATACACGTGCACGGACACGTTCAAATGAGATACACACACACACAGGAGTCAACATTAAACTATGTCCACTACCAAAGGACGTGAAAGAGGACTTAATGTTGCTTTCCTTACAGTGCCCATGCAGGGAAGCTCTCATTTAAACCTCCCGGCAGGGGTTGTGAACCCTGCTGTGAGTGGTTGTGTTTGCAGTAACAGCTAATCGGGATCCATAAGAACAATAAACACCGATGTATGAAAGACAGATTTCTACCGTGAACGCTCACCGTCCTCTTTGTGTCTCTATTTACTCCACACACACTCTCCCTTCAACATTACCACCTTGTGTGCTGGTTCCAGTCATGCATGTGGAACACATTGTAAAACTAAAGCACGCTGGCAGGCTGTGGGTTTGTATGCAAGTGCACACACACACACACACACACACACACACACGTACACACACACGCGCACACACACACACACTCCATAAAAGAGCCAGCAGGCCCGCGGACAATGTCTAGCGCCTCTGAACACATGCTCGTGTAAGCTAACTGCTACGGAGAAGCATGGAGTTTATGTGTGTGTGTGTGTGTGTGTGTGTGTGTGTGTGTGTGTGTGTGTGTGTGTGTGTGTGTGTGTGTGTGTGTGTGTGTGTGTGTGTGTGTGTGTGTGTGTGTGTGCGTGCGTGCGTGTGCGTGTGGTTCCTGTGTGAACACGCAGCGTGTCATTGAATGTGTTCAGTCAGATCCCAACATAATATACAGAGGTAGGAGATTGTGAGAGCGTACTGCTGTCCATCTGATATTCATTCAAAAATCAGGGTTCATCTTCTTCTCGCCCCCCCGTAGGTCTATGGAAATGCAGGACCTAGCCAGTCCTCATAACCGCGTGGGAGGCGGGGATTCAACGGGCTCCAAGCTGGACAAGAACAACCTCGGCAGCCCCTCCATCACCACCAATGGAACAGGAGGTGAGAGGGCGGGATATGTTTTCTACCACAGTAATGAATGGAATGGCAGTTGTTGGCAGATCGGCCCGTCCAAAGATCAAAATAACACTGTCTGTACGTTTCTTTTATACAGATTAAACAAAGCGAGGTAAATGGTTGAGCTTTAAAAGCTGCTGGTAGAATAATTGTTTTACCATTAGACCGGTTAGCTGTTTCCAGCTAAGCTGATCAGCTGCTGGCTGCAGCGTCATCTCTATCCCACAAACAGTCATATCGATCGCCTTATCCAACTGTCAAAAGTGCATTTACTAAAAATGTGGAAGTGATGGATTAAATGCAGATCTAAGATTTCATTTTAAAGAAAAGACCAGTAAAAAGATTTGTGTCTCTGAAGTCAGGACGGTGAAAATCATGCACATGCAATCACACACACACACACACACACACACACACACACTCTGCACTAGCTCAAGGACTTGTGTAAACACACGGAGAAGCACTTCTGCTCTGCCGCTTAGTGAAGTGCGTGTAGCTTATGTGTGAGTGTGTGTGTGTGTGTGTGTGTGTTTAAGCAGAAAATCGTGCTGGAAACTCTGCAAGAGCATTAAAGCATCACAGCTCTTTCAGATGTCAACACCAGTCGACACTCTCCTCTCTCTGTCTTTGCTCTTTTTTTTCGTGCCTTTCTTTTCCTCCGTCTGTCTCTGCTTCTCTCTTCTCATCTTATTTTACTGTCACCCTTGATCTCTTCATCTCTGTGCCTCTCGCTGCCATATTTTTTTGACAAGGCAGTTTGATGTAATAACACGGGACGTAAGTGCTTTTGTTGAGGAGTGATCCTTTGATCTGTTGCTGTTTTAACAGGCGATGGAAACTAATGTCATGGAAAAAGTGAGGTTTTAGAACATTGCGATTTCAGCATTGAGAAAAGTGAGATTTTAGAGCATTTTAGTCAACTTGAGGAGTCAACACACACACACACACTCAGTGACAGAAGCAGCTCAGAGTGGACTCCGCCGCACATTCAGACCATATTAGAGCAAGTTAAATCATTTTTGATGAGCTCACAGTTAATGGTTTAAGCAGACAGCGCCAGGACTACACGTTCACAGCCAAAACAAACTACATACCCAACATTCCCCTCACCTGACATCAGCCAGAGCTCGGGCTCGCGGGCCGTCTCCATAGCAACTCATTTGTCTTTATTAGGGCTTGTCCGATGGGTTGTGGTCCTCGCTGAGCAGACTAATGAAGTTGAATTAAGTGGAGTTCCGAGCTGAACGATGTCCTTAAATCATCAGAAAGAAATAATAATATACAGTTAATGACGCAGCATGGAGGATTGTGAGGTGGTTAACAGATGTACTTTTTTGACCACCTGGGGAAATAACATTTATTACTGTGTTGAGAGTCTCTATCGTAATTAATATGTTTATATTTAGCACAGGTCACATGACAGATCACCTGTATGTAGAAGACAGGACCAACGCATAGATACTAAGAATTTTTTTTTATTAGAGTCGTTTCCGGCCACAGCAGGCAGCTGTTTTAGGTCAAATACACACAAAAACCAACAGAATTTGCTACTAGCTTGTGAATACTGGAGCATCGCACATCGAGTTGATCGAGAGCAAAATGTAAACTTTCTCCGATGGCAAGAAACACGACTCCACGCGCGTTAGCTAGCATTTAGCTAGCGTGTCCGAAGGAACAAGAACCATCCATGTTTTAATGCTAAGCTAAGCTAACAGCTCCATCACTCGAGCCTCATATTTAGCGTACGGATGAGAGAGTCCCATATGCAGCACGTCGTGTCTTCACCACCTTCCCACCTTGCACCCTTTAGGTGAAAACATGACAGTTCTAAACACGGCTGATTGGCTGTTGGGCTGCAGCAGCCCGCCCCCCGCCCCGAGCTCCAAGGACTATGGTACAGAGGTGCATGCGTGTGAATCAAACGCCAGTGGTATTCATTTTAATGCAAAAGGAATGGGTTTCTATAGTTACGGCTGGTGTCTGATCTGATTTTTTTTTCCTTCCAGACTTGCAGTAATTTTCTTTTGCTTTGCAGTGTTCCCTGCTCTTTGGATCCCACTGTGTGGAGTCTTTACATAGTTGCAGGGTTCCTTAACGGTCGTGACATTCACTAGAAGCTGAGGAATTTTATTAATTTCACTGGGGAAGTGAGGCAAAAAATTCAGGGAAGCATGGTATGATTGAATTTTTAAAATCGATCGCTACCACACATTTAAAAAGTGAAATGTTGCACCAATTTCATAAGGAACCCTGCACACAGCATTTGCTCCCATACTCAAAACTGCATGGTAGTTTTCCTTTTGTGTGCCTGTGTGCATTTATGTGTGTATGTGATGGTACTTGGTCATTGGTCCTCACTAACACCAATCTTCTCCGTCTTTCTCAAGTGAAAACGGAGCCTATGAACAACAGCGACACGGTCACCACCGCCGGCGACACGGCACTGGACACATACGCAGGCTCAGGTAACACACACGTCCCAGAGAGAGCAGGGGAGGGGGGGGGGGGGGACTCACCGATATGCAAAACCTTTGAAAGCAACACACAGCGAGGGGGTCAGCGGCAGTGGGGGGTGTCGGTCAGCATTGAGCTCTGACATCCCAAAGCTCTCAAACAGACGTTGGGTTTCACTACGAGACCTGAAAGGGTTTCACGGACTCAATTGCTCTCTGAAAGGGAAACATTAATAATGCTTCAAATGAGATTGCCTTGAACAGTGCTTTTCAGGGGGGAGGGGGGTGGGTTGACAAAAGGAAAATGAAGATTTGAGTTGACACCATCCATAACCTTGTTGTCTCTGATTATTGTGATGTTTTTAGTAATCACCAGCGGCGGTTACAGCCCCCGTTCGGCCCACCAGTATTCCCCTCCGCTCTACCCATCAAAGTGAGTCGGGGGCCTCTTTTACACAACAAGCAGCTGCTCTCTAAGAATCCTCATCACGCTCTCTACTGTCCTGCTGTGCCATGGTCCGTCCTGCGCCGACCTCACCTTTCACCCGCTATCCCCCCACCCCCACCCAGGCCCTATCCTCACATCCTCTCCACGCCGGCGGCCCCGTCCATGCCGACGTACGCCGGTCAGCCCCAGTTCAGCAGCATGCAGCAGCCGGGCGTCTACACCGCTTACTCCCAGACGGGACAGGCATACGGGCTGTCCTCCTATGGTATCAACAAATACACATACAAACACCACCTGTTATTGTTACAATGATTTTTGGATTGACTGTTGTAATTGGCTTTATAACTCGCCAGCAAAAGCAAAGCAAAGCCGTGGCACGAGTGGACCTGCACTTACATACGGAGCTCAATCATCAGTTTGATTGTGGCGTGTTCTCGTCACACAGACCTCGGTGTGATGCTTCCGGGCATCAAGACGGAGAGCGGCCTGGCTCAGAGTCAGTCCCCTCTGCAGACGGGCCTCAGCTACAGCCCCGGCTTCACGACCCCTCAGCCCGGACAGACGGCGTACTCCCCCTACCAGATGCCAGGTCAGCCGGAAACAAACCTCGCTTCAATTTGCCTGACGAAAAAATATACCCTGAGCGATTTTGATGTTCTTGCTGAGAATGATCTTGCCTTTCAATGCCTGCCGCTTTCTTTTGCTGTCTAATTCCGTCCGGTTCTTTTTGTTCCAAGGTTCCAGTTTCACCCCCTCCTCGGGCCTTTACGCCACCAACAACTCAGTGTCCAACCCCGCCAACTACACAGCCACACAGCAGGTACCTCAGGGTCTATATACTGTAAGTGTGTGTTTCCCTTAGTTTAAACCTGCACCGCTGTTACCGCCCAGCTGAAAAGTAAGCTCAAGTAACATTTTCCCAGGCCCAATGAGAAAGCCCATTTCCCAAAGGGACTTCTTTTCCAGAGCAGATCAACCACGCTACATGTTTGCTCTGAGGGAATGTGAGTTTCCTCGTCATGTTGACTGTCGAATTAAAGATGGAGATTTTCTTTTTTTACGGTGCAGTTGCGTTAGTATTTGAGACGAGAAGTGGTTTCACAGTCGTGCTCCCACACAATGTTTCCTCTCTCTAGAAATAAAATCCAATTACATTGTGAACTCGCAACCAACTCATGAGAGAAACAGACAATGAATCTCTGTGAAAAGAGTGTTTTGTTCCGAATATTTCTCTGTTTTGTGGTAGTAAAGTGCTTAAAGGGGAGTTTAATGTTGCACTATGATTGATGTGGCTGTTTAGAGGGACAAAAGTCAAGGTTTGGCTTGTGTGTGTGGGTTAAGGGGGAGATACTGTGTGTGTGTGTGTGTGTGTGTGTGAGAGAGACTTATAGACAGTAAGTCTATGTGTGTGTGTGTGTGTGTGTGTGTGTGCGTGCTCCACTTTATAAAGAACCTTTGGAGATGGACGTAGTGACAGGTTTAGAGAGCTTACTCATAAAAGCGTCCATCTCCACTGGGACAGTAAAAAGCAGCAACACAAGGCTTTTGGTGGACATATAAACTCCAGAATCGAGGGAATAAAAGATTACAGAAACGAGAAGGAACACTTGTAAAAATCCCTTTTCCAAAGTCAGTTTGAACCTCTCCAGACAAGTGAAACATCTCAATGTTCCCAATTGTTCTTTCGGGGTATGTGTGTGTGTGTGTGTGTGGGGGGGGGGGGTATTTGCACTCTTGTGTGCTGATTATATCCTGTTATTCTCTGCAGGATTATCCCTCATATACGACGTTTGGCCAAAACCAGTATGCCCAGTATTATTCCGCCTCTACTTACGGGACTTATATGACCTCCAACAGCGTGGATGGCACAGGCAACACGGCAGCCTATCAGCTGCAAGATCCCGCCCCCGCCATGACCGGACACGCTGCTGAACTTCACCCAGGTTGGTTTTTTAGATGAAGGACAGTCCCTGAAAATGCAAACAAACGTCAGGTTGCGTCCCCGCTCCTGCATACCGGCTCCGTCATGTTGTTTCCTGCAGAACAAAACCACAGTTTGGCTAATTGAGTTCAGAATTCTCTTCGTGATGAAGCACAGGAAGTGACCTCGGACTGTAGGCACAGATATTCGGAGTTGCACTCGCTAATTGCAGGATCGGCACATGTTTACATTTGCCTCAAAGGCTTTGATCAGAGGGAATTTATGCTAAATATTTCAGAGCTGGTCAGAGCTGGTCAGAGAAAGACAAAATAAGAAGTGAAGCTTAAGTGAACCAATGTGTACCGAAATAAATCATTTTATTTTGGTTTCTTTTTGTTTTTTCCTCGTCAAATGTATCGCTCTTCCTGTCACTGGAGCTTTCCCTCCTACTACTTCTCTTTTTGAATCTCCTGTTGTTGGAGTTACAGTTGGTATCTGTGTTTTTTATTTTGTCACTTACATACTTCTTTAGTCTTCATCCTCCCCCCTCCTCTCTCGGTCTCTCCCTGATTGAGACATAACAATATGAGAGCCGGAGCTTAGAGTCTGGTTTTGGTTACCACACAGCAGTGGGAGCATGTGGCATTAGGAGGAATGTCTGTGCTCACATGTATGCTCCTGCACAATGTTGTATCTCTGCAAAAAAAAAAAAAGCATCGGATTACCTTTTAATTTATTGCACAGCTCCCTCTTTTCCCCTCCTCTGTATATATTACACATATTTCCATCGCATGTTATCATGAATCAGTAAGACTTTTGTTTAGGTCCATTGGTAGTCCTGAGTTGATGTGCTGTGCCAATTACCCTGAATTATTAAACCTGACGATCTGGCTTATTACTGTTCCAAATGTGAGTTATCGCTTTTCCCGGAGTAGATACTCTGAAGCACCTGTGGTATCCGCTCAAACCGCCTCATTACTGATGCTGTAATGCGTCGGAATACAGTTTGTGATCGTCTGTGGAGCTCCGAGACGCACATGTGACCGTTTGTAACGTCTCGGATGTGTTTGCATGTAATCTCAGGGGAGTTTGATACAGTGCAGAGCCCCTCCACGCCCATCAAAGAGCTGGATGACCGAGCCTGTCGGAGTGGGGGGTCCAAGTCCCGGGGCAGGGGCCGCAAGAACAACCCCTCCCCTCCCCCCGACAGTGACCTGGAGGTAAGGGGCCAGAAAAACACCCACGGACTGAGCACTCCCCTCCTCCCCGTCCAGTTGATCATGAGTGCACATACAGGCTGAAAAGGATGAACCTAAGCGCCTTGTCGCCGTGTCCCTTCTTTCGTTCTGCAGAGGGTGTTTGTGTGGGATCTGGACGAGACGATAATCGTCTTCCACTCTCTGCTCACGGGCTCCTACGCACAGAAGTACGGCAAGGTGAGATCCTCCTCCATCGATTCGACGTGGAATTCCAGGTTAAACCGTCCTGGCTTTGAGTGAATGAAGGCTGAGGAAGTCTTTTTGAAAGTCAAATGGTGGATTCATAACTCAAACTATGAAGAAAGGCCACAAGGAGGAATGATGTAATCCTGTGAGAGAGTTAAAGACGAATACTTTTGTTCTAATTTACTCTTATATCTAATAACTTTTAACTTTAACTGCTGTTAAAAAGAAAAAAAAAAGGTTTAGGTTTCAGTATATATTTATTGAGCAAATATTTTCTATTTTCTAATAAAAGTAAATAATTGCCTAGAAAGATATTTTTTAAAGGACTCTTTTTAACCTCTAAAATGTCACTTTTATGCAATTTAATAAAATAAAATGGGACAGTAAGCAATACCATTTGAGATAAAGTGAATTCCCCTCAATATTTTATATTAACAGCCACTCCTTCAATATTATGGTAGATTTCATAAGTAAAAATAAATGCGTTAAAATTCATATTTAATCTCTTTAATCTGAATTGCTTAGGTTAGTTTTTTCATAATTTAACATGCAGATTCCTTATTTGGACAGAAGCTTATTTCGATCGTCATTTAGAACTTATTTGGTGGTCTCACCCGCTCACCTGACCGCAACACTGTTAATAGTTTCCTTTATTTGAGTAGTTCTGGGCTCTGATCTGAGATCAGCCTATGTGGCCCCGGCTACAGACCTTTTTTATTGGGTGATGTCGTTTCCTGTGGGCACCGGCGAAAAAACCACCGGCCCGGCCGGCCCGTTCGGGCTCCGCTTCCTTCCCCGCGCGGCCTGCAGAATCCATTCTCCTATTCCCGTCTGGCAGTCGAAAACAGAGAGCTGGCAGCAGCGGGAGCCGGACCCACAGAGAGCCAGAGGGGCCCAGGTGTTTTACAGATAAGGGACCGTAGGAGCTGATGTGCTTCCTGTTTGGCTCCGCGTGGTGGGATTTAATGTGTGGCGATTGGTTGCTAATGGTCATTGCACTTTGATAGGAGTTTTAAAACCTTTGGAATGAGGAACATTTTTGTCTGATTCCCACTTCCTCAAAGGCCGGTTGGTCCGTTCAGATTGGGTTTTACGTTTGGGTCGGGTTAAGGTTTAGGTCAGGCATGTGGTTGTGATGTTTGAGGTTAGGGTTGATTGGCTGAAGAATGCTATATGTCAATTAGTGGCCTCACAGAGATGGAACAACAGGGACGTGTGTGTGTGTGTGTGTGTGTGTGTGTGTGTGTGTGTGTGTGTGTGTGTGTGTGTGTGTGTGTGTGTGTGTGTGTGTGTGTGTGGGCCCCACCCTCCTTTTGGAACAAAAATTAAGTAGAAAATATGAAAATTGAAAAGAAAGGTATGGTTCAGGATAATAATATCACAGTTTGCGTCTTGGCGAACGTAGAAAAATAAAAGACTATAAACAGTGAACGAACTGACATCTTATAATGCGCCATGTTTTGTATTAAAAATAATTCCAAGAGCATTTGTTCGCCTCATTTGCCGCTGCTGGTCTCAAGAAATGAAGCAGCAGCTGTGTCTGTTCACACCTCGCCCAAAATAGTGTTTACAGTGTTTACACAGCAACCACCAGACCGACGTACCCTTCCCATGCAGGCGCTCAGGGTCCAAACGACGCTTAACACAGCGAGGGTTCTGATGATCACGTGGGGGGGGGGGGACAGGCGAGCCCGGGGAAGGAAGCGCAGTCCAAATTCACACACTTTCTGCGCCTCCGCTCACTTTCGCCCTCCTTCCCGTCGGCTTCTTTCTATTCTGGTCGTCTGACGGCGTCAGCGAATGGTGCGCCGAGCTGTCGTCCCTCGCTGACCTGTCGCAGATGATGGTTTTTGCAGCTGAGCCCGCGCGGCTCACACATAACACGCGCGCACACCGTTGGCATACCGCGCGCTCCCGCACACACACTTCCAAACACCCCACCAGCGGCGAGCGCGGGGAATGTTGATGGGACAGAGCAAGTGCAACCTGTCTGTCAGCATCCGCTCTGATGAGTGGAGCGTACCAACTCTAAAAGGGAGGTGGTGGGCCGGGGGACGCATACGGGATGTGTCAACACAGCTGTGTTTTTTCGGGGACTGGGACGGGAGGGGGGGGGGGCATCCCTTGGAGAGTGAGTTCTTTTGGGTAGTTTTTCACGGTGCTGATGATGATGATGATGTTGTCTTGCTCTTCCATCAGGACCCTCCCATGGCGGTAACGCTGGGTCTGAGGATGGAGGAGATGATCTTCAACTTGGCCGACACACACTTATTTTTTAATGACCTGGAGGTGAGACAGGCTTCACACTGATAAAGAAATAAAAAAAATTATTGTGTAATACAATTCGAATTGTGCAGAGCCCCTCATTAAGCACTTAATAGTTGTACTAGGACTATTGTGCTGCCCTCTAGTGGTGTAAAGTGGTGTAACATACCACCTGCTGTCCGGGCTGCACTGTGTTTTAAATTCCAATTTAAGTTTTGTACAAATTCTTTATATGATAAATAGGTGTAATCGCTGTAGAGATATTTATCAACAGAGCTAATTTATCTCCATATAGTTTACTGTTATGATATATGTTGCTGTGTATTTATTTTAATTTCTTCTTTATTTGTGTATATTTAATGCTCATAATGTGTGCAGCAAACGTTATCCCCCCCCCCCCCGCCATGGATCTATTTCTGTTCCTCTGCTGCTGTGAAACATGAATTCCCTGCATGCAATCAATGGATATTGATTATTGTATCTGACGGGTGCTGCTTGTGTCTTTGTGCGCTCGCAGGAGTGTGATCAGGTACATATCGATGACGTGTCATCGGACGACAATGGCCAGGACTTAAGGTTAATATATAAAATATGAATTCACATTGTTGCAATGATAACTTTGATGTAAATATTGCTGATGTTATTGATTGTGTTTTATTTATAGGTCAATAATTTATGTATTTATGTTGTTTGGCTCTTTTTTACGGTAATTTATCAATATGTAAAAAACGTAACCGTAAGGTATCTTAATTTCATGCATTTTAAGGGTACTAATGATTTGCATTTCTATAAATGTGCAGTGGGCTACTGAATAACAGAATAACCATTTGATCTTTTTGTTCCACCAGAGGTGATATTTCAAATAAAACATATCATTATTATTGACAGTACTTACAGTTTTGCAACTGATGGCTTCCATGCAGCTGCAACCAGCGCCAACCTGTGCCTGGCTACGGGGGTCCGCGGCGGGGTCGACTGGATGAGGAAACTGGCCTTCCGCTACCGACGAGTCAAAGAGTTGTATAGCACGTACAAAAACAATGTGGGGGGTAAGCCAATCTGACAGAGAGGTGGATAGGAAAGTGTTTACCAGATTAAAGGGTCTGAAAAGAAAAGAATAACGTCCTGGACTCATGAGGTTTAAGAGTTTTAACATCATGATAATGAATAATGTTAATAGTATATAATACCTTTTATGGAAAAGGGAAAAACAGGGATTAGAAACCAACTTCTGGAGGCAAGAATTAGGTATATATATATATAAATTTATATATTATTCATTTTTTTAAATAATTCTTTTCAAAATAAAATAAAAATAAAATCTTTATAAAACACATTTAACTAGTATATACATTGCAATGTATATATATTATCTATCTGGGTTTAAAAGCAGATATTAACAAACAAAAAAAATACTTATATTTAATTATTCTACAAGTCTTAAAACAATTTACCCAATTTAACCTCACCTTCATCACCGTAGTTGATCCGTGATGCCTCATCAAAGGCCAAAGATCTCCCCTTGGTGGACTCCACCTTTTCTTCGCTGTGTGTGTGTGTGTGTGTGTGTGTTTGTGTGTGACGCCTTTGATGAAGTGCTGCTGTGTTTCAGGCCTGCTGGGTCCCGCTAAAAGAGACGCCTGGCTGCAGCTCCGAGCGGAGGTGGAGGCTCTGACCGACTCGTGGCTCACACACGCCCTCAAGTCCCTGTCCATCATCAGCTCCAGGTGCCCCCTTTGCCCCCCACCCCCCCCACACTCTCATTAATGGCATCCCAAATTGGCGGTGATGACTGGTGATCTTAATCCCGCCGTGGGTGGTAAGGAGGTCCGTTGTTTCTGTCCCACAGGAGTAACTGTGTGAACGTCATGGTGACCACCACGCAGCTCATACCCGCGCTGGCTAAGGTTCTCCTGTACAGCCTGGGATCGGTTTTCCCCGTCGAGAACATCTACAGCGCAACGAAAATAGGTGAGGCACAATTGTTCCATAGGTTGAACTCAGATTGATGGAAATGATGAGTGGCTGTGATTGAATATTATTTGACCATAAAGTTGATTTATGGAGAACGGTTCAAAGGTCTCGTACATTTTTTGTTGTTTTCTTAAGCTTCTCCGCATGTTACTGATATTCTCTTTCTTGTATTGATATTTCCCCTTTTGCTTTATTTGGGCTCAGTGAGCTGCTTGATGGGACAGTGTGTTTTATTTTACACCTTGTGTGTGTAACTGAACCCAGGACGCGTTAAATCAATGCATCACACTGGGTACACACACATTAGCCAAACGCACACACACTTTGACCTTCAGCAAGAGGCTATCAGGTAGTAGTAGGATACTAAAGTAGTAGGTTTATAAATAAAATAAATACATGAAATCAGTAATCAGTAGGCCCTGTCTATTACAGTATATTGTTGTCGGAACCAGTGTTGTGTGGTATTTCTCACTGTTCATGTAATTTTATCCAACTGTACAGTAATAACAGTAATTATATAAATGACTTGTAACGTCATGGATTTATATCTTGAGATTGATCATAACATGTGACTGTTTTTATAATTAAGCCATGTGAAATGAATAGTTTGTATTCCAGCCAGAATAACCGAAAGCACCTGCCTTGTTGTTTGATAAGTGTGTGTGTTTATGTGACAAACCCTAGACGTCACTTTGCATTCAGAACGACTTAATACACTTCTCTACGTTGTGTGGCAATAAAAGGATGCACATGTAGGTGTCCCGATTAACCAGTGCACCTTTTCTTATCGACTGTGTTTTTTAAAGTGTGTGTTTGTGCGTCAGAGAGACACGGCCTCCTCTCCTCCCCTTTATGCACGCAGCCTCGCACCTCTGCGTGATTTATTTCCATCCGAACGACAAAGAGAAAACCTGTGAAAGCCATTTGTTTGTCTCCAGGCAAAGAGAGCTGTTTTGAGCGTATAGTCTCCCGCTTTGGCACTAACATTACGTATGTTGTGGTTGGCGATGGGAAGGATGAAGAGCATGCGGCCAGCCAGGTAAACAACGACTTCTGAACTTTGACCGCTCTGACCTTGTGACCCTCCTTCCTCCCCCTTGTTTATTTGTTTTCTTTCGCAGGAAAAGAGAGTTGCTTTGAGCGCATAATGCAAAGGTTTGGCAGGAAAGTAGTGTATGTTGTAATTGGGGACGGTGTGGAAGAGGAGCAGGCGGCCAAAAAGGTAACGGACACGCAACCTCACCGTGACCCCGCCTTCTCCACACTGCGTGAGCTCTGATTGGACAAAGCTTGCCTTTCTTTGCTGTGAAGGATTTGTGATGGTCGTTTTACTTTTTTTCCGTTCTACTAGCTGCTTATGGTTTTGTTGGGAAGATCCCAGATTGTGGATTAGTTAATGTGGTACATTTTGCACCTACTTTTTAAAGTCAAACAAAACGACCCGGCGCTGAATTGTTTCATGCACTTCCTGACTCGACCGGATTTGTCACATTTGACATTGAAAAAGAATGACCGCAAAAATGTACTCAATCATGCTTTTAATCTCATTAAGCAGTTTTATCCAGTGGTGTCTATAATCTTATTTTTCATTTATACAGTAGAGAAAAGTAGTGATACACAAGGATTTATCGCCTCATGTGGGAATATAAACCCCATCTCTTCTCCAGCTTTGGGTTTCATTTATTATGCTGGGATTAAGGAAACAGTTTGACATTTTGGGATTTGCTTTCTTGGAGAGTTAGACGAGATGCTGCTGCCCATTGAATGTAATGCTCATCAATGCTAAGTTTACTGTGGCCTTATTGGGCTGCAGATATCAGTGATTTAGCTCCTCCCATCTAACTTCTCTCCCGGATGAAAGCAGATTTTGATTTCCCAAAAGGGCAAACTTTTCCTCCAAGCCTCGGGATTGCATGGGTTTCGTTTGCAGTGCTTTTTGTGAAGCGAGCCCCTACGACCTACTGTAGTGTCGCTTGCATGACTGAAGGTGGCGGTGTGCAGCTACGGAAGCCACAACCCCGTTGGTTCTAATGACTTTATGTTCCCTCTGCAGCACAACATGCCTTTCTGGAGGATATCCAGTCACTCCGACCTGCTGGCACTACACCAAGCACTGGAGTTTGAGTACCTGTAACTACAATAGCAACGTGGACTTGTGTATTGTTACCGCAGACATGGTCAGCCCCCTTTTGTACAACTATTTAAGAACAAACTATACACTGCAAAACTGTTGTGATTTTTTTTTTCTTCCCCTTTTCGTCTCTGGCGAAGCTCCGAACGGTCTTAAGAAGCACAGTTCATGTGAGAGAACAAGTTGAGAGATGACTCGAGGCTCGGCCTCCCGAGGTTGCAAAGCCGGGAACACCACCCCCCCCCAAAAAAGCTACCGTCCCTGCAGCTATATCTGACTCCACGCCTTTTACGGCTCGAGACGTCCCTTCTGCACAGGAGGACATTTTTCTGGGCGACGCCTTGATGTTTGGTTGGTTGTGGTGCACATGGACTAGCGTCAGAGCCGCAGTGAGACACCTCGGACAAATTACCGTCAAAGAACAAGGGCTTCTCTGCAGTATGTGAGCGGGAATAACCGCTGCTTTTTTTAAAGGGTTTTCTTCCTGGTGACACATCACAACTCAATGCCGTGTAAATCAAACTTGTGTAAATTATTTACAATAAACTTAAGGGGTGTGGTGAAGGATTTCTCAATGAAATTCAATCTTTGGGGTCTGTTTTTTTTCCTGAATTTTTGTAATTGTTTTGGCTGGGGGAATTAAGGATGTGCGTCATGATGTGTTGTGCCTTAAATGTGTTTGAATGTCTTTTCTTTATTCAGAAATGTCTGTATGTAGATATAAAGGAGAACTTATACAAATGAACAATGCATCTTGTCTTCACTAATGAAATACGAGTGATCAAAAGTCAAATTACAGCCAAAGATAAAATTGAATGCAATAAATTGGAAATGCCAAGACAGATTTTAATCATGGTGGTATTAAATAACCAACACCTCAGTCAGTGACACTTGTGGCCACTTAAATACCAAAAAGGTGGAACAAAACACTGCAGAAAACCTTTACCATTTCCACTTTTTATTGACATTTTATTTCTTGCCTTTGAAGTACTCCTCAATCACATCCTTGGCCTGAGACTCCTTGCCGTAGTCCTGTAGACAGAAAAATACTGAAGTTAAGATGGCTCACGATCACTTCGTCCATTAAACAGTGAATGGTGTCAGAATACATTTATGCAAAAATTATATATAACCCTGATAAAACAATGACTTTCCTAAAAAGCAGACAGACAGCGTCTATCAACGGTAAAATATTCAGTCTGTAAAGGGACACCAAGTTTGACAAGTGTACTAAATGCCATCAAACCTCAGTTTAAGTTTTGACATTTAGCCAACATATATTTCTGATTTAGATTCCATGTGAATCGTTCACAGGAGCCATTTTAAAACATGCCATTTTCATTCAAGGACACAAACCAAAAGTAAATTTATTACATGCACTGTTAAAATAGAATTGCATTTTAAATTCTTTAACGCCCATTGCCTTTAGGTTTAATAGAAAAACGTACAAACGTTTTTTGATAAACTGAAACATTGACAATTCAACACATGGTACAAGTAGTTTCTCAAAGTAAACACAAAGTGACAATGACCACTGCCATCTCAAAACGATTCATCCAAGAGCATCTTTAGTCCTTAGTCGAGCCCCCTTATGCAAACATCTGGGTCTAATGAATCTCGTCCCATTCGATATTGTTGGGTTTGAGTGGTGTGAGCGCCCTCCTCAAACCCTATTTGAGATTTTCTATGGGGTTCAAATCATGTACGGACACTAGAATCTTGCAGGACTTCTACTGAATCAAAGCCTCAGAGCAGAGGGGTTCGTCTCAGCATATGCGTTCTTTCCCCATCCAGACATACTGCAGATCCTTAGGTCAGAAAAGTTCCCGTTCTATTGCTTACATTTTTTTTAAAGATGCTCGTTATAAGAGGGTGAAAAATGTTGAGACAGCATTAGTCATAAAGTGGCATTTTTGGCTTGAATTATGTAGAAACCACTGTATTAGTTATGTTGATACTTAAAATAGTCCTTGTTTGTCCTGAAAGTTTGTACATTTCGCCAATAAAGTAAAAAACAGCATTACAGTGAGGACCGGTCACATGTTCCTATTCAGGGACCCCAGACAGGTAGACACCGGGGCTTGTACCCTGACAGTCACCTAGCCAATTGTTTAACATTAGCCGCATGGCACGAGGCACAGAAACTGCACTTGAATGGCAGATCGCTTACTCTGAACAGTAACCGTTTAACAGCAGTATGCAGGGAGTTAAGCCACTTTCATTAGACCATTAGATTACTTGTAAACAGCATCATTTACCTTGACCACGACACAGCTGCAGCCCACAATCTTGCGGGGTTTGCCCTCACGGTCGATCTTGCACAGACCAACCCACTCGCCCAGCTTCTTGTTGTCGTCAACCTGAAATGAAGTGAGAGCAGCGTTTGGATTTACTGGAGGCATACGGGTAAAGTAAGAACAGATGTGCAACCTCTCAGCTAACAGCAGCCAAACCAGTGATACACCAGTACTTGACATACCATACCAGTTTACTTGACCTTTATGGCCTCAGTAACCTGGCACAACGGCATCGAAGGTCTCTAACCGCTTTATGATGTCGTCACTTCATAAGTGAATCTGGTGTGGGTGAGCGAGCTCATTACCTTTATCAGGTTGATTTGATGCTCAGCACAGAGGGCTTCCACCAGCTTTACATATGTGGGCTCATCACAGTTGCCAGCCAGGGCGCAGAGATGGGCTTGACGCCTGCAAGAGAACGGACAATGATTTAACATTTCAGTAATGGCTCAGAAACCATTTTACGGGTCACAAAATTGGATGGCACAAGCCAACGTACTTGTCCAGGGCCTTGGCAGCCTCACGGATCCCACGGGCGAGGCCATCGTGGATGAGCGCTGTCTTGAGCACTTCAGGGAGGGCTGTGTTGACATCCATCACACCTCCAGTAGCAACGCTACTACTAAAAACAAGGTGGACAAGAGGGGGGGGATAATTTGAGATTTTGACAAGCCAGAGATGAAGGATTAGATGATTCCATCAGAGCCTCCAGCGTCGTCAGAGAAAGGAGCTCACTCATTGGAGAGTGAAGGGGTATCCGACAAAAGAAATTAAGTCATCATTCAAGCGCCAGAGAGCTCAACGTTCAGTAGATAAAGGAAAAAGAAAGCAAGGCAGCCTTCGTGTTTGTTCTACATGGAGAATGTACTTAAAGCATTGCAGTTTGTTTGAACATACGTTACTTGCCACGTCCATTTCTCTAGTCTAGGCAATAGAAGTTGGACTTCCCTACAATCATTGACCCCTACACAGTATTGCTGTAAGCTTAACAACATTACACATGGAGATACGGTTGTCAGTTTCTTCGTTTAACATCAGCAACACTTGAAAGCTAACGTTAGCTAGTCGGTTAGCTTTAGCTGGTGGAAATAGAAAGGCTACACCGATCAGTGTTCTCACCAGATTACGTTTCAAAGAATACATCAAACCTACAGCATCGCTAACGTCACTTTTCACTTAGCACAGACAGTTAGCATAGTTTAATACAGTTTAATTCCACTAAATGCGCCAACGTCAGAAGAAAGCAGTCACGCTCACCCTTCCTCGGCCATGGTTGATTAATGATGGATGGTGGACTTAAAAGTTCTGCAATAAAGAAGGGAAATGAAAGGATGGTCATTATAGATCACAAACAGCGTACTGTGATGAATTTATATCTTGAGATGTTTGATTTATCTTTTAGATTGAGTCGGACGTCCAACACACATACCCTGTCCTCCTGACGGTGAGCGGTTAAAGAGGACGTCATAACCGCGCGACATGGCTTTATTTATCAGGCCCCTGTCAGTACGAGGGTGTCCAATGTGCTGCCTGTTGGAGTTTCAATGCTCAGGTCGAAAGAAACATAAATAACTAAATGAATGAATACATGCAAAGTATGTAATATATATGATGAGGATGAAATATGTTCAAACCAATAATGTCGTTTTTTAATTATTTAAATTATATCAAAAAGTTCACAGACTCTTGTGTAGTTCATACAAAGTCTTGCTAGAGGGCTTTCAAAATAATTTACCACCAGCAAGCACTGGTATGGTAGGTTAATCCAGTTTATATTATCTGTTTACTTTCATTTTTCCATTGATTTTGGCATGTTGTGAGTTCACACAGAGAAGTACTTTGTGGTTAATTCGGTCACTAGGAGCAACAATGTTAGACCTGTAACCTTTATGTGTGTAGGTGTCAGATACTCATGTCTGAATCATTGTTAAAATGAGTTGAACTGAACACATTGAATATGTTGAGATCTTCTAAAAGAAAGAACCCTTGATTGACACAATATTTATGGTTACCCGTAGCTATTTTGTGTTGAGTTCTGTGTTTCCATGAAACCAGAGCCCTTCCCTGTTTGACAAATACATTTCAAGAATTTGAGCAACACAGACCAAATAGGAATGAGGCACGTTATAATAAAATGAAAGGAAACAGAAATGTTTGTATAGTCAAGATTTATTGTTGTCTCATGGCTGGTCCCAGTTCATTATAGCTTGAGAAATTTCTCTAAACTTTCTTCTTCGATTGCATTATCAAATGCTTTGTAGTCCTGAAAAAACAGAAAGAAGAAATGAATAAAGGTGGTCAGAAATTTTGGGGTGAGGGTTGATAGAGAGACAGATAGATTGCAGTTATATTATTATTATACAGATATATTTTACAAAGAAATCTTAATATGTATTTAAACATAATACATTGTGGAGAGTGTATGTCGTACATATCATATAATTCTCTAACTAAGCCTAACTAAACTGTATTGTGTACGTGTGAACATTCGTATATTGTTCTTTGAGCTCTTAAAGGCAGGGTTTGTAATCTTCTTGACCAATCAATGAATCAAATGCTTGTATGTGTGGTCATTGCAGGACTGAGCCGGCCTGCCTCACACAGTGTTGCTTCTGACCAGAGTTTTGTTGGTGCTTTGAGTTCTAACAATAGCTATGTTGTTGTTGTTGTTGTTGTTATTATTATTATTATTATGTGTCAATAAAGGTGCAGTCCCAAGCTTTTCTGTCACAATGAACTCCGAATGGAATGCTGAAATGACTAAGAACCATCCAGGAGGAACCTGGGGTGTGTAAGTGTGTGTCTTTGAGGAGGTGTGGTATTTCAGGGTGTGTGCAAACACAACAGTGTGGTAAATATTTATTTAATTGCTATGTCTACTCCCTAGACTTGCATTTCTTTCCTGTTTCTGAATGCAGCAAGCAAATGATTTCCTATTTTCAACATTTGCTTACTTTGAGAAGGAGTTTTTTCTCACTTATACTATTGCATGTTGCCGGTTGAGACTTACCCCACAGTAGTTGTTTCCATTGAATATCTGAGGGGGCAGTGCGGTCGGGTCCCCTGCCAACTCTCTCATTAGATCTTTAACCTTGACTTCCTGTGAAATGTCTAAAGCATCGTAGTTGATCTTCTTGCTGTCCAAGATGTCAAAGATTTTTTGCTGAGTTTTCTTTATCTGGAAAGGACACTCTATCATCAGTTACACACCCGGTCAAGATTGAGCTGTTTATCGACAGAAACATACTGTAGTTGTGAAGTATGATACATTCAATTCAATATCTTTTGTCTTTTTTCAAATTTGCCCAGTAGGCCAACGTGTTAGCAATATGATGAAACAAATATATCTATAAATATAACAAGCAAGACAGCGTACTGTACCTCTCGGGAGCTGGTCACACTGGTGTAAAACACTTTGATGGACATGTCTGCTGTTCTAACAAGAACAACTTAAACCCGGAGACAGATTGAGAGAAGTCCCAGGAAGACAGACCGTTTCAGAAACATAAATGCAGGATCCCGTTTGATGCAACAGCAGACACCCTGAACAGGTTTGGACACGACTTACCTGCCTGCATGGACACACCCACTTGTGTGACCTGCCCCAGTCTGTGATTACTGTGAAAGCAAAAACACACACACACACACACACACACACACACACACACACACACACACACACACACCACTGGAGGTGTAAAGTGACTCATTATGTGTATTCAAGTATCGCCCCTCAGAACCTTTAGAGAACATTACCACCATATTTAAGAGATACCCTTTCATACCACTGCATATCCATATTTCATGGAGGATATATAAAAAGGAAAAGCACACATGTAATTGTTCCCATTCATGATGGCTGACTTCAGTTTTTGCTGCTTTGACGTTATGAATATTTCGTCAAGATCGTTAGTGATGTTTGTCGTTTGAAGGAGTTAATCAACTTGGGAGCTCCTTTATGTATTTGATGTATTGTACATTTGCTCCCTAATCTGCAGGGTGTAGAAAATAAAAGCTCTGCCAAATGAAACGGTGCAAGTGTTGTAAGAAATACAAATGTATTGTTCAGATCACATTAAAGAAATACAGCAAATGTTCAAACAATACAAAGACAATGTAATCAGCATCTTCCCACAAGACAGTGGACCTTGGCTTTGTGATTGGTGGAAAATTCAAGAAAAAAAAAAGTCACTTTAGAAATAAGCAGGAAAATAAGTGCTGCCTGTATACGAAAGCCATAAGTATGTTATTTAAAATCACATCGTATCTCTTCTCTCTTTATTGCAGGGATAATTGTACACCAGGATGTGTTGATAAAGAGAGTCATAAACGCCCGGTTTCTCAGCCGGGTGCTGTGGGTGTTACGCATGACTTGGGTTATTGATTGAGGCGTTTGGTCATCACGAGAAAACGAGTGGTTCAAGCTCATAACACACTCGCCCAACCAACTCTTCAGAGACGCTCTCAATGGACGTATCGCCATCAGCATCGTTGTCTTCTGCGCCGCGACTGTGTTTCTGCTCCTTCACTGGTGTATTTGGGCCTCTGAGGGAGATAAGAGGATTGCAATCACATGTCTTTCTAGTGGCTTAATCTAAAATAAAAAGGTGCGCATCTTCAGCTATTGAGTACCTTCCACTGTTCATGTCTTCAGTATCTTGGTTTATTGCTCCCCCAAACCTATTGACGAACTGAACCAGGGTACCTGAGAAAGAAAAGAAAGAGTCTAGAGCAACTAGGTCTATGTCATCTTTCGACCTTATTTTGGGCCACTTGGGCACAGAACAGCAAGGCATAAAAAACACGGACATCTTTAGAGGGCTAAAGCGAATAGTTACATCACTCTTGTACTCGGGCGCTAACAAGGACCAGATCAAGTTTGCATTGCTGCCACTTACCAGCACCCATCCTTCTCCTTCTCCAGAGCAAGAAACCAATAGCCAGCGCAAGTAGCAGCACCACAAGAACCCCCCCAACAGCCCCCAAGGCGACTGAGGAGGATGTCGCTGTAAGAGTTAGAAGATCAAGCACAACAGTTATTGATGGGAAATAACAAGACCAATAAACTTCCATCTGCTCTTCAGATCTTACCGACAACGGTTACTTGCAGTGACTTGGAGGGATCAGAAGAAAAGAACCTTGTGGAAACGTTAACAGCGTAGACACAGGAATACTCTCCCTGGCTCTTATAATCTATCTCTGGGAAGTCAAAGTATGCCATGAAGAATACGGAGTGGTCAAATGCTGGAATCGCTTTACTGGTGTTCAAGTGGGCCTCTTTCAGATAGAAGATGCCTCCAGGATAGCTGGAATGGATGGAGCATGTGACGGAGAAGCTGCTGCCTTGGGGCACCGATATCTTGTCAGGGCTATAGATCACCATTGCGTGGGGAGATGTCAGGGAGATGCTGGGCTTCTCTAGTTTTACTGCAGAATAGAAGACGGATTGTTTACAAACAGGTTCTCAATCTTGCACAGTCAAACATCCGACAATTATGTTCAACCAGAGAAAGCAGAAAGACAGTTGTTGACCTGTGACAGTGAGATCCGCAGTAGCTCCTGGAGGGTAAAAGATGACTTGGTTCGGCAATTTCTTTTGATATTCACAGTAGTATGACCCCGATTGGCTGAAGTCGACGTTTGGCAAGACAAAGGTTGCGGCTTCGTTCTCAGAGAATCTTTCAACTTTTACTGAGTCTTGGGTCCTTTTCAGGACGAATGTCCCGCCCAATTGTTGTGTTAGTACAGTGCATGTGATCTCAACTCTGTCCCCCCATTTCACCTCTGCGGCAGGGCTCAACGTTATTACGGGCATCTCTAGAGAACCTGTAACAAATAAAGTTGTAGTCAGTTTTGTGGCAAACAGCAAACGCACCTCCATTCAAAAAACAGTTTAGAGTTGAAGACTTCTCTCAGAGATCAAATATTTGCCGGGTCTTTTACCTAAACAAATAGCGCTGGCATCCTCTCCGTGGCCGCAGTTATTTTGTCCAATACCAGGATGCTTACAGTGTGTGAGAGCGGCCTCCTGGCCTTCGCACTCCACATTATCCAGCCATATTGGACCAGTGCCTCTGCCAAAGTGGGCACTTGAGGGAGCAGAGACCGCATGACCACAGCCGAGCTGTCGGCACACCACGTCGGCATTGGCGAGTTCCCATTCATCATCGCACACGGTGCCCCACTTGCTTTTATAGAAGACCTCCACCCTACCGGAGCATTGACCTGAGCCGCCCACCAACCGAATCGGTGCTGCAGGAAAAAAAAAAGAGTAAACGTGTCATTGAATTGAACATACGTGCGTTAGTACATATTCATTCTAACACACACACAAAAATGAAGAATGGAAACGGGGAACCAGCGAGCCAGAATGTCAGATTAATAATTCACAAGGATAGCTTTTACCACTCAAGCAGCTGCTACATCATTTTCTTTCAATTGGCTTCATGCTGGTTTAGCTGTATCTTCTAATTTAACTTTTTGACGGTAAAGAAAAGTTGTGTATTCCCTGATCCCTGACTTCAAGGCTCAGTGGTAAATACATTAAATACTTTTCAACTCGCTCAATGTTTTCACTTGTTTTGTGCAAATAAAATACAATTGCGCCACAAACGCTGTAAAAAAAATGTAAATTGTCTGTGTGTGACGATTTTGAACAGGCGATTTAAAAGGCCTTACATGCACAGCTGGCGCCAGCATCATGGTCGTGACCACACCTGGCTCCTCTGAAACCTTTAACTGAGCATTGCTGAAGAGTTGTCACATTGTCGAAGCAGGAATCAGCCTCGACTACTGATCCGATGCCTTGGCCGAAAGTGGCAGCGCCGGGAGCGGTGAGTGCATTTCCGCATTCCAGCCACTCACACACCATCTGAGCTTTGCTCATGTTCCAGTCCGTGTCGCACACCGTTTGCCACACTTCGCCATGACGAACCTCCACTCTGCCTTGGCACTCATCCTTACCACCAATCAACCGGGCCTCCAAACTCCCTGCGAAGTCAAGTTATCGGAAATGATTACACAGCATCAGACCTTTGAAATCTATTGCAATGCAGTTAATGAAACGGCAGGTTTACAAAACCAAGTGTGAAAACTCAATCTATAATAATTGAAAGTCAACAACGTGTGTGATTATTCTTACCCGTGCAGACAACACCAGCAACTAAGGTGGTGTTGCAAGTTTTGTCCCTAAATGGCCTTTGTGGGCATTGACTCAGGCTCGACTCCAATCCATTGCATTCAATCTGACTATTCCAGATGGGTCCTGAGCCACGGCCAAACTCGGCGTTGGTGGTAATCTTATGGTTCCTTCCGCAGTTCAGCTGTCTGCACACCACATTTGCGTCGTTCGCATCCCAGGCTTCACCACACACGCCCCCCCACTGGCCTTTGTCGAAGAACTCTACGCGTCCGATACAACGATGGTGTCCATCGGACAGCTTTACGTTACCTTGAAACGACAGTTACATCAAAGATAAGTTCCAATTTGGTCTAAATTTACACTTTCATGGTCATAATTTAAATGACCTTCATGACATTGTTAGTCAATGTTTCCTCTCCTTTAAAGTTACTCCATAACCTCTCAGAAGGTAATTTACGGAGTTATACACACCATTGATTTTCAAAGTAAAAATATGTTGTCGTCCAGAAGGCTGCGTACCGTTTGTCTGATTCCATGTGAATGCAGTATCAATATGAATAATATTGGATGCTGTTTCCACACATTTGTCCAAGGAAGGTTTATCCCACTCTCACTTTTCAAATTGCCATATGACTGTAGTTTATATCTCCTTAAAAAAATAAGGGAATAGAATTCCAATTTCAAGTCAACTTCGTGCCCCACCTGAACATGTGACAGACGCCTCTTCAGTGCGATCCTGGCTGCTCCTGGCATACGGCCCGAAAGTGCACTGTGCCAGAGAGGTCTCTCTACCGCTACAACTGACCGTATGCCAACTGAGTTGTCCGCCTCGACCATACGATCCGGAAAACTGGACGGGATTTCCACAGTTCATCTCTCTGCACACCACCGCAACTTCATTCGTTCCCCAGTGCTGGCTAGATGCTGATGACCATTTTCCTCCATGGTAGAACTCCACTCTGCCTGAGCACTGATCCGTCCCATTGATCAGTCTGATGTCAGCTGTAAATCAAAGGGGATAGAATCAGCCACTAGTTGATGTTTTGACAGATTTGAAAACAATACCTCGGTATTTCAGAGCGGTTCCCAAACTCAAGAATGCCGCGGCCCAATTTGAAATTTGAAAAACTTTTGCGGCCCAGCCGAACCTTTAATCACAACTCTGATCAAAACATAAACTAGGGATGATTAAATGACCTTACGAATTTAACCAATTTAAAATGTATTAACCGACAATGTATGTTTTGTATACCATTTTCTCCGGAGCTCATATATATTTACTTTAATACTACAAGAGGCGCCCCATTTGACCTTGTTTTGTTTGGCGGCGCCTTTTGTTGAATAACGACAGGCGGACAAGAACAGCCGTTTCGAGCGAGAACTTATTGTTTTATTAATCTGTTCTCATCAATTAATCTTTCACATAACCAATGTGCCGCTAGAATTGTTCAAATAATACTTAAACTGAGAAAAAGATGTGCGTTTTGTATCTTCAATTATCAATCGTAATTTAAATCAGGAATATATTTATATTAATTTCAAACTTTTCAAAATTGAAAATGAAAAACTATTTATTTAACTATTTATTTCTTCTTTGTAAATGACCTCTCGCGGCCCACCTGCAGTACCTTCGCGGCCCACACTTTGGGAATCGCTGCTGCAGTAGAATTAAGATACATATTCATTTGAGGCAGATAGCTACTGTACAAAAACAAAATAAACACGTTAACCAGCAAGATGATACCTGAGCACACCACACCGGCATCTTCAGAATGGCCACAGTTACTTTCTCCGATGGTGGGATGTCGACAGTGGAAAAGGGACGTCTCATTACCGAAGCAGCCCAAATCATCCAGCATGATATCTCCTTGGCCTGGACCAAAGAAGGAACCGCTTTTGGCAGTCAGAGCTGTTCCACAGTCCACGGATCTGCACACCACCTGAGCATCTTTGATGTCCCAATCGTCATCACACACCGTTCCCCACAGGCCGTCATTCTGAACCTCCACCCTACCGGAGCACCGGTCAGTGCCGTTGACAAGCCTGATGGATGGAATACCTAAGAACATTCCCACTCTTGTTACAGGTATTCAAGTTAAATTCAAATGATATAATATTATTATTACGACTTGACTTGCAAATGTACTCTGTTAAGGTATTTCTATAGTTACTTATTGCCAATATCAGGATAAAATGTTCACACGTACTGTATATAAGAAGACTTAATGTACAATCTTGTTTTCAACACAACTCCATTGCTATCCTAGTTCAATGGCGCTCACGGACAGTACATATTATATACAGCCATATTTCGTTTCTTACCTGAACATGAAATAGAAGCCCCCTCACATCTCCCCATGTAATTCTCAAATGTGCATTGGGAGATGGAGCTCACATTGTCAGCGCATCTGCTTGTGTACCCTCTCAGTCCGCTGTCACCAAAATGGAAGATTTCTTGAGATGCTTTTGGTGACCCACAACCCAGTTCCTGACACACCATTGCGGCCTCTTTATTGCCCCAGTTTTTACAAATTTTTGCCCATTTGCCGTCATGGAAGACCTCGACTCTGCCAGAGCAGCGGTCAGTCCCGTTGACCAATCTGATAAATTCTGAAAAGCGGTATTTCATTTTAAACGTTAAAATGTTTCATATTTTCAACTCAGCAATGAAAAACAATGTTATTGCGTGACAGGTATTGTAGTAAGGATGTATGTGCTACCTGAGCATATGACACTGGCATCTTCATTGTGGTCACAGTCATGTTCTCCAAAACCTCTGTGTGGGCAGTCGGCGATGGACATCTCATGACCCGTACACTCAAGGTCGTCCAACCACACCTGACCTTTACCTCTGCCGAAGTGGGCCTTGAACTTGACCGAGAGAGCGGCCCCACAGTCCAACTCGCGACACGTAACGGTCGCTTCCTGCATCCCCCACCTGTCATCACAGATCGTTCCCCACTGTCCCTCGTGATAGATTTCCAGTCGACCAGAGCACCGGCCAGTCCCGTTCAACAGTCGAATGGGTTTACTGTCTTCAAGGTGGGGAAAGAAAAAAAAGCCAAAAAGCCAAAGGCGTGTTTTGTTTACCAAACGTCCGACACACACATTCTGCGGTGGTCTCAACAGATGGATGACTTACTTGAACAGACGACGGTGGCATCGACACAGTTCTCCTTGAATTCCTGATGTTTGCACTGCGAGAGGGAGCTCTCATTTCCGAAGCATATGGAGTTGACTTCACCAAGCAACATGGCCTCTCCAAAATATGGGGCTTCAGCCGGAGTGACAGCGCTGCCGCAGTTGGTCTCTCGGCACACAACTTCAGAGACCGCCGCCTTCCCCTCACTGGTGCACATTCTGTTCCATTTGTCATCGTGGTAGACTTCCACTCTGCCATTACACCGATTGGTTCCATTGACCACTCTCACATGTTCTGCAAGTGATGCGAAAAAAGATAAGATAATAAAATCCCCCAAAAGTTCTTACGTTTACTAAATCTATCGCACAAGCTCTATAAACATCACGTATTAACATATACTGTAAGAAAGAGTGTAAAAAAAACAATTTTCTATTTTACAGGATGTTTTATGTAATGCAATTTGCCAGACACCTGCTTCCAAAGTACTCTGTATGGTTTGAATTTCCTATTCAAACCTGTTGAAAACAGCAAATTACTCCCTGTATTGTTGAAACATTCGATTAGTATTCCAGGTTCAGAATATTTTGACAATATCTGTCATGAGAACTACCTTTTAAAGCAAATGTATTATTGGAATTTGGGCCGTTGACTCATACATGTGACTGAACATTCTCAGCCTCATTTGCGGTCCAAAATGGCAGGTCCATCACTTTAAACGTTAAAATGTCTCTAAGTATCCTTCCACAACATAATAACTAAAGCTACTCAACACTCATGTTGCTTTATTTGGTTTTACCTCCCATCTCTGCGTCATGCCCTTTGCACTTTAAATGTGGAGCAGCCGGTCACATGCTGAGCTCTATGCGCTGCGGTTGCATCAGCATTAGCACCACAGGTGTCATTTTAAAGACAGCAACGCGTGAACTGGAAATAAGGATGCTCTGTCTTTAATGCAATAATATGATCAGATGATAAAATAAATGATGCGTTAGCTGTTTTTCTCAAAAGTTTTTATTTCCCAACATCAATTGACAGTTCCTTATTTCTGGTCTTGTCAAAATAGAGGAAGGGCCTCGCAATGCAGGGTTTTGTAACAACTGATCAAACAAGCTAACTGTGATTTGATATAAAAAACGAATTAATACTTTAAGTAGAACTTTTACATTTTGGAAGATGCAGTAATTAACTAACTCACTTACTTACTTGCCGGCAGTGTTGAATCAGAAAAAAAATCATATTTACTCAATAAACATAAGGCTCCAGTTAGCTGCTGATCACTTTAGTTTAGCAACGCAGAAACACTGGATACGACCGAGAGATACAGCTGGAATATCCAACTTATCAACTCTTTGGGAGTAAGCATTTCCTCCAAAGATGTCAAACAAAGTCTACCGCTGTATGTGATTAAGTTGCTAATTGAGCGGTACCCTACTAGTAGTTATACAGAGGATCAGGTAAAGCAAAAAACATAAGTGAATGAACTCAGCCTCACCTGAACAGATAACCCCGGCATCTTCAGAGTGGCCACAGTTATTCTCCCCAAGTGGTCTGTGTGAGCACTTAAGGATGGAAGACTCACTACCAAGACACTGCACGTCATCCAACCAGATCTGGCCCTCTCCCTCTCCGAAAAACGCGCCTTTTTTGGCCTCAAGAACCGTCCCACATTTCAACTCTCGACAAACCACGTCAGCGTTGGTAGTGCTCCACTGGTCGTCACACACCGTTCCCCAAACGTCGTTGTTGTAGACCTCCACTCTGCCAGAGCAGCGCGAAGTCCCAACCAACCGAATTTTATTACATTCTAGAAATGATGAAAAAAAGGCACAGTAGCTGTAGGTATTGTCATCATGAACGAAAGTCCCTTTTCACTGTATGCAAGTGTAGAAAATCTAAAAACCCAATTAGCACGCGCGCTTTCAGGGGTTAAAGATAAATAAAACATACTGACCTGTAAGCAGTGGCAGACTCAATAAACCTAAAGCAGAAAGCCCAAAGATTTGAGATTAATATTTTCAAAATATCATTGTCCAATAAATGCTGTGTCGTTGTACGGTCGACGTTGTGATTCATAAAATTTCAAACATATCAGGACAAGCTCCAGGAAATGTAACATGAAGTTGGAAAAATATACACCGTATAATTGTCCAGTATCAATATTGTCAGATTCACAATAAAAGAAATAGCACAAAACCAAAAGAAAATTGGAAAAAAAGAAAAAAACGTACCTAGTGACAAAAAACAAACAAAATGTAGTTTTTCTGCAGTGACGAAGATCATATTGTGTCTCCAGAGAAGATCAAATGCTGTCGAGGTACAGTAAGAAGGAATTATTAGAAGAGTGCTCATTTAGTGTCTCATTTGTCTTCGGCAGAATAAGCAAAGCTCGCGGATTTTTGGAAGCCTTACAGTTTTTTCCCAAATCTGCAAAAAGCGATTTAGTAACCCGCTTACCTTTTAAATCCAACAAGTGTTTGCAGCTATTGAAATTACCGTACAATTTAAAATAAAAAGCCGATCATATCTGAAACACACATCACGCACACCCAGTAATTCGCATGAATAAGAGGGGCTCCGTGCAGTTGGACTGCAAACTAAAAACATGTTGACATTTTCATCAATCATTAAAGGCAGGGGGGACATTTGAGGAGGAGATATGGTTTCTTTGTAACAGAAAAAGGACATTCCTATTTTTAAAACGACAATAGTGATGGAGAATATTGCCGGTAAGCAGTAATCAAGGTAACGCTGATGTACGTACACAACAAACGATCAGCACCAGGAAAATAAAAGGGAATCAGAATAAGAGTTGTTTTCCATGAATGGTAAGAAGTGACCACTGAATTTCATGTTTTATTTGTATCAACCACGGCCATTTACCCTGATTTTAAGTTTAAATTCATATAAACAGGCTAATTTCCAGCTCATTAATTTCCAGCTATTTCTCCACAGCATCAACAGCTCTTTAAGGAATTAATGAAATGCATTAAATAAAAATGTGTTCATAATTTAAGTAGTTTTTACAAAATGTTTATATTCTAAGTGCATTTAGTTTGCTGTATATCGTGCATCATGTTCAGTCCTGGTGCTAATATTGTGGAATTATTTACTCAAAATATTGTATTACATTGCAAAACAATCCATTTCCACTATCAACTTTGTTTGAGACATCATTTTTTATAAATCATTTTCTTACCTTACAGAACGGGTTAATGGGGTTGTTTTTCTGCTCATCTGATCAACGAATAATGGTCTGATGCAACAGAACATAATTCACTGAGGTTTGTTCTTTCAGAAGAGCTGACGGTTCTTATCCACATCTTATTCTCAACATGACTCATTGGGACCAATGGTCAACACTTCCGCTTGCGAAATGCTGAGAGTCCTTGTCCTTTTAGTTCAGTTCCTGTAACAGACCACCCACTTATGCAATGCTCCATGTAAACATATTTGGTGTAAGAAAAACATTGTCGCCACAAAACTGCAAAACTGCCCCGAAAGATTATTACTTGACAGTAATATTAAGGAACACACTCATCTCATTTGATCGAGTCTCATCTTCAACGGTTGATCCGGTTGCGGGAGCAACAGTTCCAGCAGGGACCCCAAAACTTCTCTTTCCCGGGCCCCATCGACCAGCACCGACTGGCGGATCCCGGGGCGTTCCCAGGCCCGTGTGGAGATATAATCTCTCCACCTGGTCCTGGGTCTCCCTCAGAGCCTCTTCCCAGCTGGACGTGCCTGGAAAACCTCCCCAGGGAGAACGTGGCAGCTGGTGAATTTTTTAAGCACTCTGATTGGCTAAATTATATGTCACACAGTTTTAAATTGAATCAGCAATGGGCCCAAGGGCTTCTTTGACCCGCCTTCTGTGGGCGATCTTGAAGTTGCCCCTAGAGCAGCTAAAACGCGCATGAAGACAGGATGTGCAGGAAAACCAGATATGTGCATATATAATATATTCAAAATATTCATGGGTACATTTCATATTTCCAAAACAAAAATTTACATTTTCTATAATTCAATATCGTCTTTTCTTTTTGGGGGGGCTCAGGGATGGGCCTGATTGCCCTCCATTGGCCCTACCAGATGCCCAAACTGGCTCCTTTCCATGCAAAAAGAGCAGGGTCCAACTCTGGCTCATTTATATGTATAAACTAATGCAATATAATGAATGACATTCACAGCAAGTAGAACAGATATATTGTATTGATATATAACTGTTTTTTGAAAGAACTGAGAACAGTGAGTTTCCCTGAGTTGTTGTCCTGTCAAACGTGTGACTGTATGTGATATTTCTCGCTTAAAAACATTTCTCGCGTAAACAACTCGCTTATTTTCCCCACATCGTGTGCACAATGCACAATCAAGCCATTTTCATGTTCTAAAGGAGAAAAGTTCTCGTCTGTGTAGCGTCATTGAGCCGTTGTGTTCATTGATGATCATTTCGGGTTGTGTTGGTATGAGCCAAAGAGTTATTTTTTACAAAAAACGTTTGCCTTGTCACAGTAAGAAAAGCCACAGGTGTTTACTTATGACATCACTCTTTCTACTCAGGTGTCCCCGCTCACCTGTTTAACTCAACCTGTGCTCGTCTACTCAAAACTATAGATCTAAAGTAGTGACACAGTCGCCTTCGTCTTCATTCAGTATCATCTAATGACCGAACTGATGACACTGAGATTTAAAAGCAGGTTAGCACATATCGATGTCTGGGTAAATCATTACAGACACACAAGATTTGCATCATTCTCTGATGGGAAATTACCGTACAACTCATCCGGCAGGGTCCAATGTGAGTGGCCTGAGAGACAGAGGGGTCATTTCGCCAACAGGATAATGGTTATACGGTCCAAAGGGCAGTTAAAGAGGAACAGATCAAACGGGACTCTTTTTAGCAACGAGAGAGGGGACATTTCAGAAGCTGGTTAAAAAGCTTAAACGCTACAGATACAGGTGCTGAGAGTTCATATAGTGGTGTAAGAATAGAGTTGAGTTTCTCAACCTGTTACCATTGGTTCTCCCCTGTATGTACAGCGACCTCGGCACACGTTATCTCAGGAGTCTGTCGTTGAGTCCACTTTTCTATCCATAATCGCCTTTATTCTCACTCTTAACGTGCGACTCACAAAGTCGCTAATGTAGGATTTTTTGCATCGCATTAAACACCTTCTCACCACTAGAAAATAGATTAAGATTAGGCACTCAAACCATTTTATTTGTTGTAGTATTACATCATTATATGAAAAATAGTGGTCAAATTTACTTATAAAATGTCCCGCTTCATGTGGAGTTGAGTATAACTAAAAAAAAAAAAAACATGTTACAAACTGAAAAATATTAAATTTTTAAGTCAGTCCAAAGGGCTTCTTATTATCACGTTGATTCTCAAATCAAGGACACAAAAGCAAAATAGGAATGTTGTTCGAACAAATATTATTCAAAATGATTTGAAAGAAGTCAGAATGATATCCTTCCACGCGATGGCACAACATGAAGGTAAGTCTGGCTAGTTAGGGTGCATCTGTTTGTGTGGCCTTCATGTGTAAACATAAAGGAATTAGTTAACCACCCACCCATGATAATTTAATGAGGACGAGGGACATGTTTGGGACAGAGGACATAGAATACAGATTGGAGGACATGCCAACACGTATTTTGATTCTGTGAGTTTGCTTACACGTCGGACAGAAGCCGGGTTCTGTTATTGCAGAGCTTTGCCACTTGATTATCTCTGAGCAATGAACTATATTTTCTTATCTCAGTCCTCGGTCTGATAGAACTTCATGGTGATACGCTGCTATCTAGTGCACTGCGATGACTCACGTGACGTCTACTGTAAAAAACGCTTTGGATTTGAGGACGGCCTGGATTTGAGGATGAAGCTGCCACTGGTTTGCATCCTGTCAACAAATCCTACAAAAAGGCCAAAACCAACAATTAATTGAGCCGACTGACATCTTTGTTCATTGTTTTGAACCTGTGCACTGTAGTCTGTTTTAATCCCACAAACACCATCCTGCCGCTGTGAATAATTGTTAGAACGGCACACATGTATTGTTTACCACCATGAACTAGTCTCTGCTCCTGTTTGAGTAATATTGGCTAAGAAATACAGCGGCCTGCCCTATTAGGGAACTCATTGGCCTTTTAAAACCTGAACCAATCAAAGTCACAACGTAGAAAAGAAACTACCACACGTTGATGTCAATCTTTTATTGGATTTATAGGAAATAGGATTAAAAAAAAAGCATATAACTGAAACCCTGTCCTTAAATCAAACTAGATTGGCAGTGGAATAATTCAAGTGCAAGCTTTGTTTGGGGACTACATATCAGGTCCATCCCTCATACGTTTTAGGATTCATAGCATCTGCTTAGGTGGTTAAACGGTAGCGCCACAGTCTCCTCTTGGAAAGCATCATACAGTTATTTCAGGTTGCACTTACTTAATGCAACCGCTTCATTAAACGGTTACTGAGATACATACTAAGGCAAATATACGCACACAGTAAAGATCACAGGTGTGTGTTCAGGTGACAGGTGCTAGTTTTTAGTTATTTCCCCAATTATGCATCGACCTACAGAAAACTGCTCCACCTAAGTTGCACGGAACTTATGCTACCGCCGGGATTTGCTGTCACAATGTATAAAAAGGGAACACTAATACGTCCGTCCCGAAGTTAATCACCTTCTCCTGTGATTAGGTCCATCTCGGGAATTGGGAATTTCTTGGAAATTGAAAGATGTGTTTAAAGAGAGTCAGGAGAAGTCACGCAGGGTGAAATCCGTGGCCGTTGATGTTTGGCAACATGTTGGCATATTAGCAGGAGGAGGAACGCGGGAGAAGAGGTGATGCAACACAGGAAGCAATGTGGTTTTCATCTTCAGATTTTAAAGAATCACAGAACATCTTGTAGCTGAGGTTTCATGTTATGACTCAGAATCCTATGAGGCGGAAAGGGAAGAGAGATTGAATCATTTTATGTAAAAACGTTACTCACACATGCTGTGCTAAACAAGTTATGTAAAAAGAGATCAAATGAATAATGTTAAATGATAAATGGAATTAGTTAGTTTCCCATTCATCTAAGCACAAAGATGAACGTTTTTACAATGATAGTCTTTGGGAGTAACGGCAGATGATCCTTTGTCATTTGTAGAACGGACCGATGCAAAGAGCAGCTGAACCAAACTAACTTCTCTTTTTCCGAACAAAAAAATAAAGCTGATGTGCATGAAATATGTTTTAAATCAAACAGTTCAGAGGCGGTTTGCAGTAGAGGAAGCTGCTGATCCAGCGCTGTGGAAGCGATGCAGCGATGGAGGATGTCAGATGTATAGCACAGTGTGATTCAGTGTGTTTGAACGCAAACCGTCTCTTACTTTCACTGAGGGTTTGGAACTAAGCCCGAGGAAGGCAAATACAGTGTTATCCTCCTTTGACTGGAAGAAGTCTTCATAGTCCTGTGGAGGGGGGGATGAGACAAAAACATGACAGTTTGAAAGATGCTTCAAATAGTTCCTCCACTTTGATACAATTCAGTTGCCATGACACTGCAGAGTGATGTTGGATTACCTTCGGCCAGGGAGGGTGACGACAGGAAGAGCAGATAATCTGCCCCCACACATGAAACCGGATTACGACCGGTTTACAGAGTGGTGTGCAGGATCAGTAGAGGACACAAACTGGCCAGCACTGAAGGATCAAACTCATTTAAACCCGCATAGGTTTTCTTTCGAAACCCCCTTCTTTATTCTTCCATAAATGAACTAATTTCTTGGATGATTCATTTGCACCTAGTGACATAACTGTATCCGATTGTGATGTGTCTGTAAGATTTTACCACTAGTGCCCCTGTAACGTAATGTTTACATGCAACATTACATCCGTGTGTGCGTCATCGCATGGTATGTCTACTATTAGAAAGGTCAGATGTCGAAAATGACAGAATGGATTCCAAATGGTTGCACGGACTTCTTCTTACCCCACAGTAGAGATCGTCGTTGAATATCTGCGGAGGCAGCGGGTTGCCTTTCTCCGGCCGCTTGTCCGTGGGGATGTTGCGGAACATCCACAGCCTCTGCTCCTCCAGCATGGTGATGTCTACTTCCTGGAAACGGATCCGATTGGACTCCAAGAAGCCCACCACTGCTTGCTGATGCTTTTTCACCTGAAATAGGTAATTAAGAAAAACAAATAAAAGGAAGGGAGATCAAAAGGCATTCTCATGTACAACCAAATATGCATTCTATGCATGCTATGTATTCACTGCAGAGCGACTCCTGTGGTAACGGGGATATTAAGAAGGATTTTGGATTTTCAACTCAGCTTTTTCCATTCGCGTCTAGCATGCATTGTTACTCAAATACAATTATTCTAAGCTTGTTAAAAGCACCAAAGTCTGCCATACTTTAGTAGAATCATTTGTTAGATGATTCCCATTTGTAAAAACATTCACTTTGGTCAACATCTGCGTTATCTCACGCGGTCAATTCAGTCAGTGCAGCATGTGTGCTTGAGCATTCATTAACATGACAAAAAGCTATGCTAATTATTCAGTGCCATGTATTTTGTGGCTAAATGATCGTGTATTTGAGTACCAAGGAAACCTTCTAGAAATTTGGCCTTTGATGCAGAAGATGAAGAAGATTATGATTTAAATATATGCACTTTAAGTGTGTGTGTGTGTTTAATGTCTGTCCAAAATGACAGTGATTCTAAGGGCCACAATGGAGCTATTGTCTTACCTAAAAGACAGCAGGAGACTATTCTGCACCGTCTGTTAGAGACACACACCCAAACAAGTTCATCTGTTACGTCTTTTGTCCAATGGTGATTTCCTTTGTGTGGTCATAAAACAGCGTTGTGTTTTTTAGTAAGAGAGCTAACAAATTGCACGTTTACTGACAAGTACAAAATGCGCCTGTTTGCTCCAGTCAAAAAGTACAAAACTTCCAGTAAAGTGTGACCGGTCTGTGCTATGCAGCGTAGTTGTTCCTCCGAGCTGAAAAGCGGTTCATACTAAATAATGGAAGAGGTCCCCCCTGTGATGGTGAGTGAGAATGTCTCTCAGGGGACGGACGAGTTCAGATTTGGGTTGACAGTCAAACGCGCAGACGCTGACATTACAGTGCATGAGTACGTGTGCGTTGTTTGAGAGCACTGTCGGGAAATGTAGAGATTAACTGGACGTCAAGACTAATCCATCAGACACGGACAGAGATGCACACAGCCAAAGGAGAGGATTTTGGAAATAAATATTAATAAAATCTGTATATTTCCCTTCCCTTAAGAACGGAGAAAAAGAAATCGTCACCACATTGCACATCGTTTGTCAAGAAGAGGGACTGCAATGCTTTAGAACTATAAAATAACTTATTTGGTTGGATAATGTGTGGTACAGAGGAATATTCTGAAGGTTTAAAAACTATGTTCAGGATAATTACTGGGCAACAAAGAAGCGGATGAGACTGAACCGGACAATAGGTGATAACCTAATTTACACTTCATTTATTTGTTGGGGGTGATTTCCCACTAATCTGCTAGCTGCAAAATGCTCTTTTTATGTAGCGTTTTGTTTATCCGCTTGATTCTGCACATGCAGTCCTGCACGTGTTGCACATGAATGTTTTTCAACTTTGTGCCGCTCTACCATCTCTCTCCGTATTTTTCCTCTCTCTCACACACACACACACACACATGCATTTTCCCTTTAAATCAGCAGAGGGGTCCAGTCCTTATACCTTCGCGCTTAATTTGATCATTTGTAACTCAATTCAAAAGCATTCGCAGTAAATTACATTCACATGAGCTCATCCCCCGAATGGCGGACCCGGTCAGGCATGCATGACTGTGCTTCGTTTATGGGAGAGTCTGCGTGTTCTGAACGTACGTGTCATGTTGGTAAAAATAACTCTTTTGTAAACACTCGCTAATTTCTGCTGCCCTCATCCATAGATGGAGCGTGATAAAATAAATATTATTACTCATTTTCAGCATTACCTAGGACTTAAAGAATTCACAGAGGAGTGTTGTTTGATGATTTTCTGCCGGTACTTAATACCAGCTGGGCCTTCTCAGCAGTAGACCGGGGACTAATGATGGCATCCATCATTGATTAATCCATACTAGCTCAATAACGGTAGATTAGATCAAAGTGACACATTCAACAGTTGAAGCTTTTTTATCCAAAGAAAAAGCTCACATCTATGGGGCTGGAAGGATCTGTTGATCTACTACAGAATATATAATAAATCAGGGTATTTCCACACGGCGCAGTTGTTGGAGCGAAGGAGTTGGACAGGTGGAAGATAACATCTCACAGCACAAATAAGAGTGAAGGGTACTACAACAAAAAGGACAGGAGGGCTTTTCCAGAGATGCAACACCAGATGATGTCTTCAAAGTCATGCAACACAAATCTGCCATAGAGACCGTTTAATCCAACAACGTTATGATTGATAGACACATAATCCGGCATTGTTTAGGTCATAGTTAATATAGGTCAGGTGGTTACACACACACACACACACACACACACACACACACACACACACACACACAACACCTCCTTTGTTCTGGAAGGGAGAAGTTTTATTATTATTTATTAAGCTTCCACACAATGACGATTTAATACGGTGTCAAATCAAAAATACAAACCATTTGTTGAAAAAGATGAATTGACCAAACCCAAAATAAATGTTGACTGGGAATTATAAATGTGCGTCTTAGTCAACCGCCTGTTTGGATGATGATTACTTTCACTGATTGTGAAGATGCACAGTTCGGTCATGTAACGGCAGAGAACAATATTCAGCGAGCAGAAAGATTTCTACGTTCTTTTTTAATATGCCGCATCTCTTCTATACAAATGTCAAACGGAAAAGAAAAGAAAAACACAAGCACTCACCGCGACCGAGCCGGTTGAAGAGGCGATGTAAACCTTGATGACCATTTTAATCCCGGTTATTATTAGTCGACAAACAAACTGACTGGAGGAAACGAGATTAACAAAAAATAAATAACTGAAAGTCTACAAGCGACAGAGTCTTAGAAGAGAGACGACAAGCGTCTCCTATCTTTAAACTGAGCCATAATAATAACACAGCACGCGCTTCTGCTGGCTGTGGCGCTCAACCACTCACGCGAAATGGGACTTTAAATCAAACACTGAACTTCCGCTCGTAGTTTTCAAAATAAAATAAAATTTAAAAAAAAACGCTGTGGGTGAGAACAAAAAGTATACTACATTATAGTGTACATTTCGTACAAAATAGGATTAAGACATGTTTGTTGTATGGAAAACATCTGAGATCTTATTGGCATTGTTCAAAGTCTGCTTGTGCATTTAAGTGAATAACACGATTTCTGATGTGAATCAAGATTTAGCTGCACTTGTATGCGCGTTTACCTTGCAATATATATTGCAGCCAATTACAGTACACATCCCAGTAAGCAGTATAGGTCATTTCAACATTAAAATTGGTTGAAATGGCGTCTGAACGTCTCAGGTCACTTATTTGAGGCTTTTAAAAAAGAGAAGAAAAAAACACTTCATTTAAAAGTGGCAAAACTGTTTTCTAAGTGTCATGTCCTAATCTTTGAACTATCTTTAAACAAGAACACAAAAGGTTACACTCTACCTTCACTTGATTTTTGTTAAGGAGGTCCTCCTCTCTGCCCCTATGTACTTGCATGATATATTACTGTACAGTTTTTGATAAAATGAAAGGCAAAGTCAGTAGGCTTTACTGGCATGAGACTGATAGTCAAAAAGTATCTTAAGGGAAAGTTTAAAATAATTTTGAAGAGAGAGTGCAACAGGGAGTGAAACCGTTGAGAGGTCAACAGGCCTTTCCTTGGTGGCGCTGCGACGGGACCGGCGAAGTACGGCAAAATATCGCAGACAAGTTAAATGTAAATTTGGGGAAAATGCATAGGCTGATTGTAAGTGCCTCATCACCCCAATCAATCATATTATATTTATTTAAATGTGCTGCTGGCAGTAGGCTTGGTAGCATGAATACATCTTAACTGCAGCTGTGAATACGTTGTTTGACTTCGGAATCATAGTCAGGTAGCATATGGTACTCCATATATCTCAAAGGTCAATATGCAGCTGACAACCAATTGAAATATGCATTGCACAAAAATAATAAGAAACTATGTTATACCAGATGGCTTTATGACACAAGCACCAATCACATACTATGCAACGGCATACATGATGGTATTACAAACGTTCTCCTTAATTAATACAATGCTAAAATAAAAACACAGCTGTTCATAACACAGCGTGCACTACAGCGCCACCCTCGCATTATAGTGGTACTACACGGAAGGCTGCGGTTGCCATGGTGCGGCGTCAGCGGTTGGGCTGGAGAAAACCTTTCGGCGTACCGTGGAACCCAACAAATCGTATCTGACCGCTTCTGACTGCCAGAATATCTCCTTTTTGCTGGTTGACTGTGGATAAATAACAGGGTGGCGCTTTCACACGACTGCAACCAAAACGGCAAACGTCTCCGCCTTCTTGCATCGGTGGCTAAACTAGCTTAACTTAATGCTAGCAACGTTAACGTCAGTTGAACCGTAATGTCGCTAACATTAGCCCACCGAGTTAATCGCGACAAGCTTAAGCCAGGCAAAGTCGGGGAGACACGAAATGGTAAACGGACAAAGCGGAAAGGTTGGTGGCTGCAGACGCAGAGTAGTGAGGTTAAAACACATTCCACCTGTTGAGGGTTGCTAACGTCAGTTGTTGTTTTTTCTTTGCTATGCTAGCATAATAAGCTAGAGTCCGCCCCCGTTAGTTCGTATTCTATAGTTAACTCCTTATGGGTAATCTTTAACTAACGCTTCCGCCACTCTTCTCTTTTATTCATGTAAATTGTACAATGTTGCATGTGTTGAGGCATGCGGCTAGCGTCAGATAACTTGGCCACATTGTAGCTTTTAGCGTCAAGTGGCTCTCTCACGACAATACAACTGTCCTCAGCAGACGGCCCACTTTAATCCAATCTGTCCGTGTCACTGAAGGAGGGGGGGGGGGGGGGGATTGGACACATGGCTCAATGTATGCGGGGAGAAGGAGACCCAAAGACGATGGAGCCGGATATGTGAACGATGCTTCCAGCGAAGGGGACGTGGATCATTTAAGCTGTGCGGTGAGTGTAAAGATACTGTGACGTCACTGTACATCCATGTAACGTTACATTCGACAAAAGCCCTTTAAGTTAATTGGTTTGAATGAATAGCCATCATTACAGTTTGTCTCAGTGTATACGCTTTTTTTCTAATGAAGAGACAGGAGGAAAATAAAAACATCTAATGAGATACATTTTTAATGTTAAGTAAATACTGTCAGGTGAACAGCCTCTGCCAATGATGTTCTTTTCTGTTGTTTTTTTTATTGAAGGCAATTTCACTCCGAAGGTGTTGGATTAAGGTTTAAAACGGGGCACATATGTTGACATGTTTGATTGTAGGATTTGTGAAATGTAGAAAAAAAACAACTACTATTATTATTAGAAACTAATATTTAGCTTAAACATTATAATAGACACAAATACTATCGAGTAGTTCTACATTTGATAAAGTACACGTATATTGCAAAGTGAACAACAATACTGTGTACGATATTTGTATTTAACATGCCACACTACATCCACAAAAGGCAGAATAAGAAAAACAGGTGAGAACTCCTGAACACCTGAATCACTTTTCTTCTTCTTTTTCCGGTGGTCTTTGACGTGTGAGCCTGCATCTTATTGCAGTGACAATAATGATACTGTCTTTTTAATCGGTCACCAGGCGAGATGGGGGCAGGCTACTAATTTGTATGTAGCAGCAGTATTCAGAGCAGTGATATCATTCAACCTCATGGAAAATTCCACCTCATTTGTGTTGTCGCTTGGTGACCAAGACACTCGACACACACAAACACCTTGGAGAATATTCAAAGGATGAGATTAGTTTACCAGGAGACATTTGATGTATGTTTGTAACATCAGGAAAGGTAGATCCTGAATATGTAAGACATTTTTTAATGTTAAATCATATCTCAGTCCGAATCTCAATGTTATTTAAGGTTTGATTTGTTTAATTCCAACTCTACTGTCTTTTTTTTAACACAGCATTTCTTCTCAGAGTGACAACATGGAATCAGAAAACCTAACCGATCCGTATGCAGACAACCGGGATGTTGATCAAAGTCGCCAGTCCCTCCGAAGTACAAAGAAAGATTCCAGAGCATCCTCCCTCCAGAAACACAAACCGATCTTCCAGGACAAGGTCCAGGGTGAGGGAGAAAAAGACGTCTGTGTTGAGAGTAGATCGAAAACCAGAACCTGGCGTTCAGATCCGGATCAGGACCGACTATCCGATGGAGAGGGACGGAGGAGTACTGGGTCGTTGTACTCGGAGGACTATGAGAATGAGTCTCCTTCAGGCCGCTCAATGTCACCATACTCCCAGTCCCGGAGTCCATCACTCACGCCTCAGAGAGGTGGGCGGGTGAAGAGGATTTCTAACGGCCCCTTCTACAAGACCGGTATGTGGAGCTAGGAGATCATCAAGTATTGGTGATTGAATAAAACAACCCCCAGTGCTTACATTTGATCTACTGTCCAGGTGATGGCAGTGTAAGGCCGATTTTTCACATGGTGGTTTTCTGCAGGACATAAATCCTCTTTCATGAGAAATGAAGATTGTTATGAGCAGTTTCTTACTGTACAGTTTAACTTTCGAATGGTTCCTAATGAAGTTTCACTTAACACCACACAAATATTTTTGATTCAAATTTGACTCTAAAGCCTCCTATTCACCTCTAGTGCACTTGTCCATTTGTTTCACTGTTGGCCTGTGAAAGTATTCCCCTTTAATTTCCTCTAAACCATTTTCACTCCTTGCATGTTGTTCTGGCGCGCAGGTGTTGTGGGGCGCCGGGGTGTGACACGCCCACTGCGGCCGGGTGGCCAGCCCCTCCCCCAGCAGCATCGCAGGGGAGTGCGTTCCGGAAGCAAGGAGTCCTCGCCCCCTAAAGACCTGGACCTGGTGACCAAGAGGATGCTCTCAGCCCGCCTGCTGAAGATCAATGAACTGCGTAACTCCCTCGCTGAGCTGCAACAGCGCACCGATGAGCTGCAAAAGGAAAATCGAGTCCTCAGACAGGTACCTCTACGCTTCTCGTTGAGTTGGGGCCTAAGAAAAAGTCTTGATCAAACATCAGATTTTAGTGGGCAAAATACGCAATGCAAGGAAATTAAAATTCTCCACCACCTGAAAGTGTCATTTCTCTTCTTCGTTTGCTGGCCGCAGCTTCAGGCGCGTCAAGAGAAAGCCCTGCAGCGCTACGACGACACGGAAAGCGAGATATCCCAGCTGCTGTCGCGCCACACCAACGAGACCCACGTGCTGCGCGAGCGGCTCAGGCGCACTCAGGAGCGCGAGCGGGCCGCCGAGCGGCGGATGAGGGACAGCGAGGAGCAGCTGCAGAGGAGCCAGGCGACCATCGCGCGGCTCAAGAAGCTGGTCGACCAGCGAGATTTAGGGGCCAGAGACGAGCTGAGCCGCAGGCTGGATGAGGAGAGGACACGGGCCCAAGAGGCGGAACACAAGATTAAGGCACATCTATTTGAATTGTTGTGAAAGCGGAGCTCTGCAAATATTTAATTTCTCTACAAGGTGTTGTAGTATGTTACTGTGGTTATTTGCATTTGACATTCGCGGTCGTCCAAATTAGGTGGTGTTTATGTTTGCAATGGCTGTAAAAAGATCTTTAACATAATATTGGTGTATGGTTTACAAGGTTATACTATAGCCGGGTAATAAAATAAAAGCCAAATCATTTACACCAACATTTGTATCTTATTTATATATTTATTACTTTTTGTCATGCTGCCACATGGGAGCTTTATTTACTTTCTCTGTGTGCGTTTGAAGGAGCTGGAGCGTAGCATGGAGCTGAGCAGCAACAGCTACCAGAGGCAGATGGTTGCAGAGAGGAAGAAGACCATCAGTGCCCAGGAAGAGATCATGACTCTGCAGGAGGAGCTGGAACGACTGACCAATAAACTCAAGGTCCATGTACAGGAGAATATACCTCATTATAACAACAGAATTTAGTTAGTTTTGTATTGACCAAAATCACAAAATGTGGCTCTGGAGGGCTTTACAATCTGTACACATACGACACCCTCTGTCTCTGTCTTAAAATGTTAACTTTGTTATATTCTTTCCTTATCAGGAGAAGGAGCGAGAACTCGATACTAAGAACATTTACGCCAATCGCATGATGAAACCTGCACTGAGAAGAGATGTTGACAGTGGCGCAAAGCGGATCGGTGAGAACTGACTCCTGGTCCGGTGTGCCGTATCAAGGAGAAACTGAAGTCTAATATACAATCTAATCCCTCCCCTCCCCCATAGTCCCCAGCAGGGGCAGCACCAAGGCCGCTCAGACTAAAGACGGAACGTCTAGTCTGGATTTCCCTTCGCCTCCTCCTGCCATCGACGAGTGCAGTGAACAGGCGCCCGATGGATACCTATCACTCAAGGTGGAGTCAATTCACGTAATACTACCCCCCCCCCCCCTGCCTCCACCTCCCACTGTTGTTATTTGTCCCTTCATACCAAATGTCTCACCCTATTAATTTACGTCAGCCGCAGTTCGACGGAGAGGACCGACGGGCGGAGACGGAAGACAGACGTCAAAAGTTGGAACAGCAGAGGATGAGAGTAAGAGCGAAAGGAGGCGGCAAGGAGACAGGGAAGAACGAGGAGGAGCAGCGGCAACTGAACCAGGAGCTCCACGTGCTGGATGAGAAGGCGGTGACAGCGAGAGACGGTAAAACAATTAAACTGTGTGTGTGTGTGTATAACGAGCACAAGAAAGCAGCGATGCGGTAATGGATTTGTTCATTTTTTCGTCCACAGGCCGGGAGAGAAAAACGGAGCGAGACGAGAGTAAGAGGACAGCGGAGGGGTCCCTGTTAAACCAGGAGGACGAGAACGACAGGAAGCGCGGCCATGTCCAGGAAGAGGTTGAGCGGTGGAACCAGGGGGCTGCGGCCAATCAGCAAGCAGCAGAGGAAGCACGTCGCAAAAAGGAACAGCTGCTGGCTAAGCTGCGGGAAATCGACCGCCAGGAACACGGGGCCCAGGACGCCATGTTTGCCGAGCACGGTCCTTTTGAGTCGAATAAGGTCCCCGCTGACCATTCTTCTCCTCGTCTTCCTGAGCAGAAGAACCACAGCTCTACAAATTTCTACATCACAGAATCAGAGGAGTCGGCCGGTCTGCGCGCCGGGAGCGGTGAAGGCGGGAGGAGGAGATCGGGCCTGCTTGGTGGGCCGGCCACATCAGGGACGGGGAAGAGAGCGCCGCCTTCCCTAATCACCGGGGACGACTTGGCATTCGGAGGCTACGCGCCCTCTTTTGGACATTCAGCCCCTCGCGGCTCCTCCAGCTTCCCCCCGCCTGCGCCCAAAGAGGACGCGGACTCGGCGTTGGAAGCCATTGGTGTTTACAGTCTCAGAGGGTTGGAGACCGAGAAAGAAAAGGAGACTGAGAGCGGGCCGGGGAAGGAGAGGAAGTCCAACCTCATGCAGCAGTTATTTGGTGCCCTGGCAGCACCTGCGAGTGTCCCTGCGAGCACCTCCAATAAAATGGAGGTGCTCAACAGCCCTCCAAGTACCAATGGAGTGCGATCAAGACGGGAAGGACTGCTCAGCTTCAACTCGGGGTCTTCCACCCCTCCGGCGTCCTCCATGAACACCCTGCACGTCACAGATAGCCGGCCGGCCATCCGTGCCATCGCTTCATTCGACGACGACATAGAGGAACTTACTTTATAAGATTCATTTCGAAAAAGAAAGGAAAGGCGATTTCCCAATAAAAATATCAACACTATCAATAGGATTAAGCATTTCAAGTTTCTAAAATACTACATGAGGGATAAGACGTTTAAATGTGAGACTGTGTCTCATGCTGAAAATGGGTAATTTCAAGTGATCTTCAAGCATTCAAGTGTATGTGTGTAGTAGGCATGTGTGACAGGTGGCTGTCACAATGCTGGTGAAAGTGCTAATATAGGTAAAACATAACTTGTTTTCTATAATTTATTGTATAAATATTTGAAGAGCAAAGATTGCATATCCACAATCTACAGAATCACTGCAACAAGGATAATTGTTTTATAAAACACAGGCCGAAAGGCCGGGGAAACCGTCCCAATGACACAGATGTTGGCTGCAAATCCACTTTATTTGCATTTCACATTTAGCGCCTTGTCATATTTTGTAGTAACAACGGTTGGTTGCGGTTATTGTTTTTCGTTGGTTGGGATTACAGTTCCCTGGACCTACCTTTATTTGGAGTTGGTTCTGTCAATTTTGTCATAATGAAAATGTTTATTTACTGCTGGTTAATAGCCACCAATTTTATGTTGATCGTGACAAAATGTCCCATTAAAGCAGAGTACCATTGACCCCACACAACATTTTTAGTTTTCTATAATCAAATGATTGATAATTGATATAAGCTCAATGACAATTAGTGTTCTTGTGTGTCATATTACAACAATTGGTTGAATGGTATGTTTTAAGCAAGTAAAGATATTTCTATTTAATTGAAATGACTTGAAGTAAATATATATTTCAGGTTTAGGGCCCTTGTCCTCTTTGATGAACACGACGCCCCTGCAAGCAATCAGCACTAATAATACAAAACACCTGTGGCAGACGTTATTTACGTCGAGCTCTTATAGAATTGCATTACAGCTTACAACTGTTCATGTTGGCACACTACGTCTGTAAACTGGGAAATTGTTACTCTTTACAAGCGAGAATATATCACAAATGTCCATTTTGACACATTTTTGAGAAAGCTCCTTTAGTAACTTGACAAATCCGATGTTAATTGGTCTGTATTTATGTATCTACTTTTTTCACATTTTGTACTTTATTGCATTTTATCGAGTTAAAATAAAGAAAAAAACAAACGTGGAGCTGTTGTCCAGTCGTCCGTGACTGTGACGCACTTGCAGTGTTCATGCGGCGGGAAAAATATGTTTCGGGATTCTTGGGACGTCTCCAAGCAACAAGAACCTGACGCAGCCCTCCCCTCCCCGCCCCGCCCCTCCCTCCGGCAGGCGCTCTGCTCTAAAACCAGTGGAGCGTGGAGCTGTTCGGGACGAGATGAGGTGAGAGCGCGCGGTGGATGGTCTTCACGGAGCTGCACGTCGGAGGGATTCGATAAACGGTAACGCAGCCACACGCAGATAGACCGACATGCTCCCGGCGGCGGGGAGGGCAGGTGGTTTAAAACGAGCGTCACCGTGAAGGCGATGTGGACGAGCAGGCAACTTGGGTGTCACTTGTATACAGAAATAATGCTAAGGCTACTTACACAATAACCTGCTACATTTCACTGCGTTTTACGGGGGGAAAAACATACTAACGCAACATGAGGAATTTGTACCACAACTTTTTCCTTTATGGATTAGGAATAAACCAATAATGCTAACCAGAATTTTAGAGAAGGCAGTCAGAAGGGAAAGCATTACACTTTCTATTATTCATTTACTCTGGTATATTCCCCATACATTTATAAAAAATGTCCACACACTTATTAGACATCCCCACATTCAAAGTTTGACGATAAATTATAGTAAAATGTGTTAACTCAAGGTTATTGTGATTGTATTAATGGCAGAAAGAATCATGTTAGATGGTAATCTAAATTTTTTTTTTACTCTAAAACGGATAAAAAAAGTTTATTTCACGTCTTAAAATGGGCTTTTTTCATCGACATGTATTCAACCAGAGAAGAGAACCTGTGGATTGTGATTCCCAGCATGATTTTCCCCTTTTATTTGTGGATCACACACTGTATTAAGTTTCTGCTGCCATAACAAAGTATCCAACATGCCTCAGCATTGTGCGTTTGCCTTTCCCAAATAGCTTTTATGTTACTCTGTGAACTCATAACAGTTAACAGCTTTATGCTGTGCTGGATAGACGAGCCAGACTGCTTTTGGTTCTTCAGCCTCTCCTAACCCCACAAATACATCTTGTTGGTGTGGCAACGATGCAACTCAATGTTGCTGAGCCATCAGATTGTGCTGCCTCAAAACCAGAGGAACGTAGTTGGATGCTGCCAGGTTTGGTTGGCAGTTGAAACATTTGGATCATGGCGATAGATTATTTTTTTTAATCTTTCCCCAGATCAGTTTATTAAGTTTTTCTGAAGACTAAGAATATAGATCTTAAGAGGATTGTTTTTATTATTTAAAAAAAAGTGTCTGTAAAGCGGCTAGTTTTATGGTGATTCTAAACCCTTTTATATATTTAAATTGGGTTCAAGCTAATATGCTTACACACACTCTTCCCCCTCTTTACAAACCTCTTGGCTCTGCAGTTTCTTTTCTCCATTTTAATCAATTCCTGTCTGTACATGTCCTGTCCTAACTTACTCTTAGAGATGCACGTGGCATTGCTTTATTTTCCGCCTCCTCTATTGGTCTCCTGTAACAACAGTGTGGTCCCCAGAGACCCACAGACAGAGTAGAAAATCCATTTCCCGGCTTTCATACATTAATGCAGCTACTCTTTGCAGTCAGAGGTCTATTTTACCTCGCAAAAACATAAGCCTATCATTAGACACAAGGGCAGTGACATCACCGCTGCTCTGCTGTGCCCGTTATGGAATAACTGAGCTCTAACCACTTATTGAGTGCTTGGAGACTTCGTAGGAAAGAGGACACTGGGCAGAGAGTCGGTTTTTGCTGCCACTGTTATGAGTGTGTGAGTTTGCTAAATCCATAAAGATTTAGTTTGTAACGTAACTTCCTCAGTTGACCTTACTGTGGGGCACCAGAACCCCTCCAGTGCTTCTAAACAGATAAAAAGACATATTTCGATTTGCTAGATTGAATTCTATTATTTCCAATTCAAAGTTCCTTTAGCTCGGCTGGTCCACCACTTTGGTCCATACCCAAAGTCTTGTGAGATTTAGATTTCTGGTTATCGAATATCTAATGACGTGGACCTAAATATGCGTTTTTTGAAACATTTGTTGCATACGTTTGTAGCTGGAAATGCGCATAGTGCCAGCTGTCTGTCACTGTGTTGTTTGATTAAGGCAAGAAACCCAGAGGACGGGAGCTGGAAGTGGCTGATTTATCTACAACGACTGTCGTTGCTGTGGCAACAGTTTGTTCCTGTTAAACAGGAAGTTAAAATACTCAAACTATGTTCCCGCAGGTGATAATGTGATGCGTTAGAAGTCAAATGCTCGATCTGAATCCCTTCACAGAACGCAGAGAGAGAGAGAGAGAGAGAGAACGGGTCCAGAGCCTCGTGCTCACCGACTGTCTGAGACGGGATCAAACGCAGCCTGTCGTGACACAGTTGCGGTGCAGTCTCGCACGTCAAATGTCACGCCGGTTTGGTCTCTTTGTCTCACTGGATGTGGTCGGTGGTACAGTCAGCGAATGTTTCACAGTGTGCTACTTTCTCTCCTGCGCAGATCTAAAGTTCCTCGGCCTCCACAGCAACAGAAACCCGTCACAGCAGAAGAGGCCACCGATGAGAAGATATCTCCGTCTATTTGTACCGTGATCCTTTTTATCCAGCGGTTGGATGATGGACGCTCCTCCAGCTCTCGGGATTTTTGTGGACCAGGCTGTCATCCCGGCGGAAGACGATTTGCCTTCAGATGACCACCTCCTGGACCTGAAGGCGCTGACGGAGAAACTGAGGCTGGAAACGAGGAGGCCTTCTTACCTGGAGTGGAAAGCCCGGCTCGCCAGGAGCGGAAAATTCCCGATGCAAGCGGAGCCTGAGGGGCAAACGGTCAGCGGCACGGAGACTGTGGGGAAGTCTCGCGTGATCCAGTGCAAGCTGCCATTGGGCGTCCTGAAGGGATTCGAGAACATCGATGAAGCTCTCAGCTGGCTGAGGAGAGAACTGGTGAGAAATTAGAACTGTATCATCTGTCTTTGGAATAGGGAGTGGATAGTTTGGCACCTTTTAAAAAAAATCATTTTTAATGTGAAGATGACTTCCTGCTACTTACAAATCCGCACTGGGCTCAGTGTCCAATTAGCAGGCATAAGAGTCCCATTCAAACTAGTGAGTGAGATTGGGGTCTCTCTCTCTCTCTCTCTCTCTCTCCACCAGACTGACATGCGCCTGCAGGACCAGCAGCTGGCCAGGCAGCTCATGCGGCTCCGCGGCGACATCAACCAGCTGAAGATCGAGCAGACGTGCCACCTGCACCGCCGGATGCTCAACGACGCCACCGTCGGCCTGGAGGAGCGGGACGAGCTGTCGGACCTGCTGTGCGAGTGTCCGGTCACGCCGGGCCTCGGCCTCTCGGCCCCGCTGAGGCTCATCGGCGTCACCAAGATGAACCTCAACTCCAGGCGCTTCTCGCTCTGCTAGCGGCAGCTCAGGGCGGCAGCTCATGGAGGCCCTTAGTGGATCCCCTCGACCACGATGCCGCAAGGCGAACCTCGATGTAATGTCTGTTTTCATGCAGTCGCTATAATCAAAGAGGGATTTAGATCATGTGTATTGTATAGGAGCGCAGTAGGTACATGCGGTGTACAGTATATTTTTCTTCCAGACTATACATGGCTTTGGCAGCTATAAACTGAAACCGAAAACCACAGCACATTTTAGGCCGTCGTGACTTGAAACAGAATACTAGCCGTTTTTAAACTACACGAAACAATCTTTGAGCTTATTCCTGTGCACTTTTTTGAACCTTACCACATACATGAGCTGAGATTTATCAAGCACATGTTAAAATATATTCTCCGTAGGATGTTTTTAGTGTGGAAATAATATTTCCTCGTCCTGCACCGTAATCTAAATGTTTTGTGCTTGGAAGAGGCCTTTATATTGATACAAATTGGATACTATACAGCATTCATAGGAGTTAGTGAGTAGCTTTAGAAAACATGTTTGTATGATGTAAATGATTCATGTGTTGTAACTATTGTCACGATGCACTAGTTGGTGATGCTTTCTTAAAGTCTGTCTGTCTTTTTTTAAAGTAAAAGTATTTCATTTTTAGCATTTCCCTAATTGTTAAGTGTTTTTTTTTTTTTTTCTTCGTTTCTCTGAAAATAAACATTGTTTAGTTTATGTATAAACATCCAATTATCTCCTCTGCTCTATTTCCAAAGGACATGAATATGTGGATCTTGTTATGAGCTTTCGGTTATGATGACCGTAATGAGGGAATTCTTTTGTTAGACTTCATAATAGAGCGGAATATACCGTAAAACCATTTGTAAAATATGCTACCTTATCTGCGCCATTGTTCGTGCTAGTGTGATTGCACAAATGTTCTGGAAAGGAAAAGAATCCATGGAATACTTTTTCCAGCCTATAATCAGTACGACAAAAACAAAGCAGTTTCACTTCGATTTTTCCGTTCTATTGGAAACTAATGAATAAAAATAGCTTAATCCAAGAAAGTTTGCTACAGAGAAAGATCCTTCGGCTCGTTTTGATTCCAGGTCCACCAAACAGCTGTCGTTGGGTTCTGCCATTTAGATAATTTCATGCCTCATGTCATTTACATGACAAAATTTGAAGGGCATAAAATCAGGAACCTTCTCCTCCGCTGAAACTTGAACGCCACAAACTATCAGAAGCCACACGTCCGGATGCAGAAGTTGATTATATCATCTGCACTCGGTTTAAAATGAAATATACTCCAGTTAGATGTCCATGTCTCTCAAAGAAGGATGTGGTCATTCTACCTTTTGTTTGCCGTGAGACGTTTTTTTTCTGATGGGAATGTAGCCGTCATCCTTTTATTCCAGGGACGTCACACATGTCACACTTCAGACGCAGAGCTCTAAAAGCCACTGGGCGGCAGACGCTGCCGGGACCGACCGGCAGAAAACCTCAGCAAAGGTGAACCGGGAGGGTTGGGGGGTACCGGCGAGGGTCCCGTTTTCCCCGCCGAGCCTTTGTGTAGGAGTGTTATCGGTACATTCCATCACAGCTGGGGATTTTGACTTCTTGACTGTAAGGATGAGACGTTAGACCCCACAGCACTCTTTTTTTGGGGGGGGGGGGGGGGTTCTTACCTGGACGATGAGATAAAAAATATATATTTTCTATATATATGTTTTTTTTTTTTCTCATTTGCAACGGGTGATGCGGAACTAAGAGCCGAATCGGTTTGACCACACAATTAAACCCCCGGAGTGTCGAGACATCTATTCAGTGTTGGCAGTTGGAGGAAAAGAGGAACACTTGGACCGGCTCCTGGACACGTATTAAACAAGCCCTGCAGCTAAAAATAGAAAGCCGTGGTTTAACTGCTATGTTGGACATTCATTTGGGGAAAGCTGCTCGCTCCCTCTTTCCATTTCATTTTGGATTAGGCCGCATACTCGCGGAGAGATGTTGCCCAACCGGAGTAGTCAGACTTTTAATCTTCATGGCATCGGAGCTAAACGCCTCCGACGCTTCAGGAGGCACAAGTTCTCGCAGGTCGACCAGAGGCCCCACGGCGGCTGCCGTCGTAAAAAGATGATTAGCGAACTCTTCATAAAAGCAGCATGGGATCTTTTAATGCCTTAATTAGACCGACCGATCTGTCGAATGTGTTTAAATCATCTGGTTTTGAAAAAGTGGATTAAGAGGAGAATTTACAGGAGGCCAATTAGGAGTTCACAGAGCGCTGTGAGAGCAGAGACGGTTCAAGTCCAAAATAGTAATTTACTCTCTGCAGCAAAACCGCAAACGAACCACTAACGGTGTTTTCTCGACAATCTCGCTCCCTCGTTGGAGGCAGACGGCGTCTTGAGCCAAAAGGTGCCATCTGAAAACTGGCTGTAGCGTTCCCGGTGCGTGCGTGCGTGCACGCCAACACATTGCACATCCAACTTCCATTCCCACAACTCAGGAAAGTAGATCAAGGGGAAAAAGAAAAAAAATGTAAGTCTGCTTTTGCAGACTGGAATGTAACTCAGCTCAAACTGTCCTGCCAATTTCTCGTCAATCAGACTTAGAAAACTAATCCCTCAAAGTTGAGGGGCGAGATTTGGCATGATTGCTTGGATGTTACTCGGACTGAGGTTTCCACAGCCGCTCATGTGCATCCAAGCAAATGCTCAGTCAGACAGGATAAGAACCAGATTAAACCTTCGCTCCTTGTGAAGTGACCAAATCCAAATCAGTCGAGGAGCCAGTCTCATTTAAAACTGCTCATAACGCCGCAGACAGGAGTGAAGGAGGATAAATCACGCTTAAAAATGTAACAACCAAGACGGACTTTGTAAAATAACTGTTATTTAATAACCATGATTTGCTCAACAACTGTAGTTACAGTTCATAATTACCGGTCTGTGTGAGAGAGACAGACAGTTGGCAGCAGTACTGAAGTGGAAAAGGCACAATGACAGATACATGTAATGTCACAATACACAACAAGATGCCCTGCACGAGAAAACAAAAAACAACCAGAGATTTACATCAGCCTAAATGGCTTTGTCAAATACAGTCCCTGTTCAATCGCTTCAATTGAGTGAGAATGTTTTTACAACATTTCCTCGGTCAGTTTGAATATATATATATTTATATAAATGAGTAAACAAAAAGCATAGTGTAAAACAAACTGGTACGCAAATCTTATTGAAAAATAATATATATATATATATATATATATATATATAGCAAAATATCACACTTTCACGGCAATGAACGTGAGTAAAACTCCTGGCGGGCGGCACTGAGTGACCTATAGCATGACGATAGCACAGACAAGTACAGCCTCGGTCTTCACCTTATACAACATGGTCTCAGTCCTCTGGAGCCTCCAGAGTCTTTTCAAAAAGACACTGAAATATTCCCAAAGACGGGAGATATTCGCTGCGTCGCTGACAGCCGTGGCAGATACTGCCAATAAACGGGTACAAAAATCAAAAGGACACTTTTATCAGAAGGAAATACGTCGAAGGCTACAAATCCCTCTGATTGGCAACAATAGCCAACTGACTGCTCGTCATCTACGGGCTGCATAAGTGCATTTGTTGACTTCATGTTTTCGTGGTAATAGGTCGAGGTTTTCCTTGAGCGCGTCGGGGGAAAGGGGAACGTCCTCTGGATAATTAGAGGAAAATACAAATATCTTAGGTCAGTGCGAAGGACCCCCTTCATCTGATCCGCTCAGCTCAAGGCCGCTGTTCATCTGAGGTCTGGCGGCCATTAAGAGTCCTCATCTCTCAGCAGCAACAGCAACAACAACAACATAAAAAGCACCTCTCCTTATTGCCGGTGTCAGGGTGTCGCTCCCTCCTGGTCCATGCTGCAGCCCAGAGCTTCGATGTCGTTGCTGATGTCGGTGATCATGCGGTCCCACTCGTCTCCCTCGGGGGCCTCCTGGCCCTCGTCGGAGGCGCCGCTTCCTCCCGCCGCGCCGTTGCCGTTGGCGGTGGAATCGGAGGCGGAGCTGGCCGTGCGGCGGTATCGGCCGAAGCTGTCCGTGATGATGCCGCGGCCGTCCTTCACGCCGATGGTCTCGAGGAAATTCTCAAAGTGCTGGCTGTCCTTCTCCGGTATGAAGGGACGCAGGCCTGCAAGGGGCACAATGCAGAGGGTCACGACGTCTTTAAGCACATCGGACGAGCACCACGGGTTTCTCAACCCGGGCCTAAAACACAGCGGAGCGTACCGAGTAGGAGGAACTTCCTGCTGTCCCCGTAGAGCTGTCGCAGGTTGATGCAGAACTCGTGAATGGACGCCCCGTTGCGGTACTCATGGAGCAAGGTGGCGAACTGCTGGATCTCTTGCGATGACAGCTTGGTCCGCAGCTGGAGGTGGAAGAAAAAAAAAAAGATGGTGAAAGTCAAAAAACGAGAATTAATACAGCTGGGAAAAAGTAGAAAGGACTCCGGGAGTCATACCGTGGTCATGTAGTCCTGCAGCAGCTCGGCGGCAGTGGTGCTGAGATCTCCGTCACTCGCGGTCTTCGCCTGAGGGGACGCCGGGGTCGATGCTGATGGGGAGTTTCCTTCTGCCTCCATGGAGGCCTGGAAAGGACTGAGGAGAAGGATGCGTCCTTTGTAAGTGACTGGCGAAAGTAAAACACTAGCAGAGGTGTGGCCAGATCTTTCGTGATCACCGTTTTGTGATCAGCATGGAATCATCGAGGTCGGCGTACTTACAATGCGCTGGCTTCCTCTTCAAAGGCCTCCTTAACATCCACTTTGCTTGAAGAATCATCTGGAGAAAAATAAAAGTGCAATTGATTGGGTTCATATCTGACATCAAGGCTGCAAAAAATAAATAGATAGGGAAGTTTGTTTCAAGAACACAAAAAAACGATTCATCATGTTGTTTACCGCTGTAAAGAGAAAGGTGTCTGGTAGGTGTAGTTGCTCCGTCAAAAATGGCTCTGTCCAAGAAGTCAATGGTCGATTCTGTGTAAACGATCTGGAAGACCTGGCTGAGCAGAAGACACAGCTCCTCTGCTGCTGCCTAGGAGACAACAAAGGGCTTGTTTACATTCTCTGTGACCAGCGTGCAGTCTTCTTCACCTGATAAACAAAAAACGCTCCGTAGTGCTTATAGAGGCTTCCACGGGGAACCTTTAAGGAACAGCAGCGTGGAACCGAACCCAACTCCAGAAACTGCCTCCACAGTTCCTTTTGCATGAATACCTTGTTATCGACGGCCAGCACAAGCAAACAGCAGACTTCCACGAGCACGGCTCCGCCCTCCGATAAGGAGCTCAGCGTCTGGGACTTGTTGAGGTCCGGACACGAGCTGGGACAAGGGGAACCGCCCGACTCCTGGGCTGAAACACACAGAGACGATAAAAGGCACACAGTCAAATTAAACGACACACTCACATGTTTCCATCATATGATCTTCTTCTCTCCCAGGAAGTTGCTAGTTGAGTGAAGCAGAGAGAACCGGTGGGAGCGCGATGCAAGCGGCCTATGACACGTTCTCCAACATCTCAACACTCAACGGAACCTGCTAACGCTTTTCTTACCCGTTTTGATCACCACGAGGTGCAAAGAGTCGTCCCTGATGTAGGAGACAGCAGCGATATCGTGGATGGGCACTCTGAGGATGATGTCTTCTCCGTCGCGCCACACGAGCTTTATGTTGTACGCCGACAAGCTCACCACGGCGTCCTGCTCCGACGTCAGCTGGCCGGCCAACTGATGAGACTTCTGAGAAACACGGGGGGGGGGGGGGGCATACAATGCGGGTAATGAATAGAACTAACAATTAGTTATGTCAAAAACCACGCCGGCTCGTTTCGGAAACACAACCTACCGGTGGACCACGTGAACTGAAAAACTCACCCTGGCGTTGTCAACGAGCTGCAGCACTTCAGTGCGACTTGACGGGTTCAAGTATCCCGGAACTGATGACAGCTGTCCCAAGTACTGGACAAGACAGAACGTGGACACACGGGTCACATCCAATACGTCAGAGTGAGGGAATGGTGCTACAAACCCTTTCTTTAATACATGGGCAGGGAGTGTAATCAAACTCACTTTGACTTCCTTCTCAATATAGTCATTAAGCAGGATGTCAGGGTCAATGCGGTGGTCGGGCTGAGAGAGCGAGAAGGTGTGGAGTGCCCTGCGCTCAGTGGCTTTCTCCTGGGCCTTCTTGTCTCTCCCCTTCTCTCCTTTCAGGAAGACCCGCTTGAACGGAGACACGATACCCGGCTGGAGAATCAAAAGAAAACGACAGCGGAGTTGAGAGACATCAGAAGATCCTAAAGCCGCAGGCCAAACTTAATTATACACATCCACAGGTCTACTGGTCTGCATTGAATATACATGCGATGTAGTTGCAGTAAAACAGTTGAAAATGCAGCTCCGCGTTTTAATGTCTCTCCCCAGAAATACATGCAGAAACTACATTAAAACTTGTAGTCACTGGTACTTATATGTACTCGTCATTTCTGCTGATCGGGTTTTCCCTGACTGCGCTGGTAGCTGCAGGAGTGAGACACAGCAGACCCACAACCCTCCGTGTCACCCAAGGCAAGTTGCTTAAACAAAACATCCTTTTGCAACACTAGATCGGATCAGTCAGTGCTGCAAAACGACAGCTGCCACAGACAAGTAAAAAATAAAAGAAAAAAGCTTGCAAAAGCTAAACCAAACACATCGATACTTTACAGCTTGTATCAGTCAGGTGAACAGCCGACAGTAGCTCATCGATTTGTCTCCACGCGCGATACCAAACCGTTTTATTTGCATGTTTGCAGCTCAAATCCTACCTCGTGATCCATGGACCCTCTCGCTAGAGGAGTCGCCATTACAACAGACGGCACGCTGCGCGGCGACGGATGCTGCTGAACTTAAGACACCTGTTGCCTCCTCTCGTACACGGCGACAGCTGCCAACTTGTGACGGACATACAGACACAGTGGGAGGGGGGGAGGTTGGACTCCCCTCACGGAAGAATGGAGGCTTATGTTTTTCTGTACTCCGGGTGATAGAACAGGAAAGGGACTAGCCACAACTTCCTGTGATGACACGTGCCGTTGAGCATTGAAACGCTTGACATCTCGTGTGGGTTAAAAAAAAAAAAAAAAAAAAAAAGAGAAAAAAAAAAAAGAAGCCGTTTCACAGCAGTTAATAACATGCAACGAGTGCGCGTGGTGAGCGCGAATCCCTTTTGCTCCAGATCTTCACATCTCAGGCAGACGATCGCTGCCGATTCGAGACTCTGCAACCGAAGGCCCAAGCACAGCGCTGCCAAACCACGGAAAAAAAACAAGACCTCGTCTGCCCTGTGAGTTTGTGTGTTTAAATAAAAGGCGCACACAAGAACAGACAATCGGGTGTAGTTCAAGCCAAGGGGGTCGGGGGTGGGGGGTGGATTACCTGCTCTCGCACCCACAATAGTGATGAACGCAGAGAAGAAAGAGAAAAAGGTTGTGAAGGTGTATTTAATTCTCACAGTTTAACCACAATTGGGTTCCCGCCTCAGGTGGAGGCATTAAGAGTCTGTGGAACAGCTCCACCTACGAGCCGGTGCATTATTTACCAGTGCGTCGCTCAGGCGCATTAACATTTTATGGCTCATCCTTGTGAAATGGGAGACCAGCGCTGGCGTGGTTGAGCCAAGCAAACCCCCCCCGCGAGGAGAACGGGCGGCTTTTTGGTGGAAGTGTTTACAGAGATACGTGCGTCAGGGTGACGCCGGTCTTCTCGGTGCTGCGGGGGTTTGGGTGACAACAAGTGACGGTGCTTTCAGACTTTAACCTTAATAACAACGCAGGATCCGTACGCAGTCGTTTCCAGGAACCCTCGACACCTCGCCGACTTCAAATAAGCTCACATGAAGCCAGTTCGCCAAGTGAAAGTCACAATATCAGGTTGTTACATGAAAGGGCCAGAACGTGTAATAATATAATGTATCATCAAAAGAAATGCAGCACGTTATCACCACCAAGTGGCACGTACAGGAACATTATGCATGAATACTGGGACCTCACCAGCAACACAAGCACCGATGGCTAAAAGTAAAGATCCAGATCAACAGATGATAAAGATTCAGCAAGTTTCAGACCTGAATCACTGACATTAACAAAGATAATAATGTTATTGCCAATGTTCACGAAAGCCACAAGGCTGCAGAGTGATTCAATACATCCTCTCCAACTGCTGCCGTTTCGTGGCCACAAGCAGATTTTTGTAGGTGCTGAGTTTTGAATGCTTGCCAAACTACCAGCGGAGTTTACCCCTCTTCACACTAGGATATCACTTCAGTCCAGATTTCCCTTCATATCAAGAGGAGGTGCAATTGCAAGGGAAGTGCGTTGGTCGTGAGGGAGAGAAAAACAAAAAGCTGCGCAGACCAGCACGATGACACGATACAGATCCGCCTCTCAGGCAAACGGGATCAATGGACGGTGTGTGTGTGTGCGCGATCCCTTCATCGTGACTGATAACCGCTGACAGCTGATGTTAAACACGGATCCCCGATGACCCACAACGACGAGTGTAGCTATGAACATTATATTCCAGGGCCGAGAGTGTAACGTTAACTTCTGATGTTTCACACAGGGTTTTAAGTGTTCTTTGGGTGATTAATATGTTGCGCTCTACGTATTTTAGCGTTAATACATTTTATTTAGTACCCGTTAACGTAAGCTAAACATTAACCCCGTGTGATTGACCCTAGTTTAATGAAAAGTCGGTAAATCTGCCGGTGTGACAACGGCGCTGCTTATCCCCCTGGTATTTGTCTCAACTTAGTAAGCTAACCGCTAAGCTAGCCGGGTCTGACTAGCTAGAAAGTTAGCATGCAGTGGAAAGTAACTTTAGTTATGTCAATAGCCCGACTTACCTTTTTCACTTTTTTCACATCATCCTCCATTTCTATGGAGATATCCTCTTTCGCATATTCAGCTTGGCGATCCAGGTAGGACTATACATAACTGACGTTAGCAGCCGAAGCTTTTTACCGGCACTCACCTGAAAGTAGTTAGCTTGTTAGCCTCGAGTAAGCCTAGCATTGGTAAAGCGGTAGCGGAATTTAAGGGGACAGCAAAACGCCATCCTGTAATTTTTCCCTTATTCAATAACCATTATAACAGAAAAGCCGCCGTGTCACCACCGCGGAAACGGTGCTGAAAAAACGCAACTAAATAAGTAGTCTGTAAACCGGACGAACTCGTATCCGACGGGCAAAACTTTTCAACCGTGCCGCCATTTTGGGCGTTAATCTGTGGTCATCACAGTGAAAAAAACCCACCCCGGCGCGGACATCGACGGAGAGGCAGGCCGAATAAAAGTGTCCCCTCGCGGGCAGTGACGACTGACGGAGAGCCGCTTCAGACCAGAGACGTGGACGTCAAGTTGTGATTAATGCACCTTTTCTTAAACTATTTGTTTTGAAGGTCAATGCAGCTTTATGTCAATTTAGACCTTTTTAGACTTTGACTTTTTGTTTTTATTAGGGTAGTTCTTAATTAAAAATGTAAAGATGAATTGATACCTTATGTGTATTTTGGCCAATTTTCTTATTCATAAAACATTGTATTTCAGTATGTGGGGCTTTATGTAATTTATTATTATTTATTCTGTACAGTATAAAGCTGTTTGTAACCCCTGTGTGTACAGTATTTTTTTTTAATGAATCAAATTTCAATATGTGCCCAGCAAAAAAAGACAGCCTAAAACAAAAAAAAGTTAAATACCAGCAATGCCCACTTCTCGACAACCTAATTTTAACAATTTAACAACAAGGGCAAAATTAATTTCAGTAACATCTTCAGGAATATAATCAGAGTAAACAAAAACCCCTGTGTGAGTGTACAGCACTTTGATTACATCATTTAACTATTCACACACAAAGATGTAAAGTGTAAACATTGTGTGTCACGTACACCTTTGGCCATATGCTGCGTACCTTTCATGTGTTAAAATGTGAAATGTGCATAAGAATACAGCACTGATAATATATTGCACTTTCAAATACTATATTTATTTTTCTTCTTCTGGGATGAACAGTCTGATATATGAATCTACAGTAAGGCTTAACATTACATTTTCAGCATAATATTTTTCTTTTCATCTAAAAACCAAAACATACAAAAAGAACCGTAGCACCATATGTTATTAGTAATACTCATATTGTTCCCAAAAATAGGACATCAGTTTTGCTTTTTTTTCAAGAACGGGGATTCCATGAGACAATTTACTTACATTGTATATTTAACAACAACAAATAAATCATTCCATATATGTTCTCAGTCACAACAGAGGTTTTATGAGTACAATTTCTTTTTTAAGATGCTACAGATTGTAGCCAATTTGCCTAGTGGCGTTGTGCCAACTCTTGGAGTACCCGGATAAATCATATAGCCTACGGAGTATCCCGATAGATCCGGGAAATACACCAACAAGCTAACATAAATTGTTTGAATATAAACAAAGCAATATTTCTCAATACCTTTTCATAACAATTTCAAAAATCCGCAGCAACTAATATGACAACAATAGTCGCTTCATTGGAATATCAAATCCATTGTTAAACAAAATATTACAGCCAATTCCACAATAACAACAAAAATAGATACACATAGATTAAGGACATATAGATGACAGGAATTTACAACACAGCAATCACGTTCTATATATATATATATATATGTTTTTTTTTTCAACCCAAACTCCAGTAGCAGACGTACATTTGTGCTCCTTTGCGTTTTCCCTAAAGATCAATTTTACCATCTGCTAATTTAAATTTTCTCAGAGAAAAAAAAAAAGAAGAGGAAAACTCTAGTTCAGACTGAATCATAGCAAAACTAAACATACCGTAAGCTGAAACCAGGATATTAGACAAAATATGAACAGAGAATCACTGTGTTATTTTTGTGCGGGTTCGCAAAATCAAAATGGCACCATTGAAAGTCGAGTTCTGCTGTAAACTGTGTGGATTAGAGACGCTCGCTGGTGAGCGTTTTGAGACGGCAAGTCCTCTCGGTCACCCGGAAGGCTATGCTATCAGAAAGCTAAGAAGTGGACCGCGATCCACAGTGGTAGCACCTTTTAAAATGTCCCTATTCAGCACCAGGTCAGCAACAGAAATTGAAGTAAGCACATTTTTGTCATCTAAACTTACTGCTCCAGTGGTCCAACAGATGTTCATGACACAAAAGTACGCACTTAAAACCAAGTGAAAGACTGCGATGACACACATTGATGCAGAAATCAGAGGGTTCGTTGTGCAGTCCAGAGCGCTTGCATGCTAAATGTTGAGGGTCACCTCACAACGACTTCCAAAGGCATGCTGGGAGATGGTGGCAAAACCAGTAAATTAGGTTATTTGAAAGTGACTCTGTAACCGGGCCTGTTTCATCCTTCCACTGTAAGGAAATGCGACGTCGTCCTCATTCGCTCCTTCCGTGTTTCACTCCAAACTGCAGGCTTTTTTGTTTTGGCTAGAGGATGTATTTTTCACACAGGACAAACGACACAGAGAGTTCACGTCTTGGCACTACAAATCATTCATCGTTGCAAGACAGGAGAAGATGTAAAGGCGTAGACAAAAGTACAAAACAATCCCTTGACCAAATCGCTCGGCGTGGTGGCTGGCGCCCGTTAAGCCCGTCCATCCGACGGTCCAATGCCGTAATAACGTAATAAAGATGAGGAGTACGGAAAAAATGTATCAGTATTGCCTCACTTTCTTCCTCACCCACCGCTCGGTTCTGTTTAGTTGGAACACCGTGACTAGACGACAGAGGATGAAACGGTTCAAACGTGGGGACGACGCCGCTCGGCGAGCGAAAGGAGACGTTGGCGTTTGTTGTTTGGGAAGCTGGCTGCCGTGGCTGGACTGAAGCACCCAAAGTAACAAGGCACCACGAGGACTGAGGAGAGCGCGCCTGCTGTTCAGATGCTTTGCTGTGTGTGGCGATGCAGAGCCGGCGTTTACGTAACTGATTTCTGCGTGGCTTTTGTTCGTGGTGTTGAGTTCGGGGGGGCCTTGACACTTGTGTGTACCTGCGTGTAAATTTAAAGACAACAAAAAGAGAAAAAGACTAAAACTCACTTACTAACCAATATTGTGGCAAATCTGTTTTACTGCAAACAGAAAGTTGCAAAACTATGCTTTTACTTTTGTAGAAATTTGTAAAATATACTGTGTGTTCCATAAAAATGACTTGTACATATAGACTCATTGCAGACTTAATTAAAATAAATTAGTTTACTTAACCGCCATTACTACTATTCTAATCACACCGCTTAGCAAGCATAAATACTCTGCATTTACGACATTACGCACCACCATGAAATGCAGCCCAGTATTACATAATCAATGACACTATATGTTTTACCGTCGTTCCACACACACACACACACACGCAAATAAATGAATCACAGTGTATTTGCCCCTGATTTGGACATGTGTCCACGTCTGGAAAAGGTCAGCAGTGTTTAGAAAGGATGCACCATTTGCCAGGCAGCCAATTACCACAAAAACACCCCCCACCCCCCGATAAGAGGAACGATCAATCATCCTCGGAAAACAAAAAAATGTGCCAACCATAATTTAGTGGTGTGGTCCCAGCCGAGGAGTGGTCCAGGATGCAATATGTGAAGGAAAAAATGGAGACCCTTCAGGACATGCCTGCGGATGAGAACTGCATTGAGACACCCCTGAGTCAGCTGGTTTAGTGGTCCTGTCTGTCGGTCCTGAGGAACCCCTGTACTTATTTTTTTATTAATTGCCTAACTATTAACATGGCTGTTCATTCACTACAACAGAGAGGAACTACTCTGGCTACAACGGTAAACAATGAACAAGTTGGTTGTTTGCATACTTGTGTGTATCTATACACGTGGCGTGTGTGTGTGTTGGATGTTTGCTCCACTTTAGCTGACCAAGTAGTTTCTCAATTACTCAGGGCTGAACATCACTTTAAAGCTGGGAGGGTGGCAGACCCCTGGATGTTGAAGCTCTTGGTCATGGCAGTGTACCTCATTGCATGTTCTCATGTCAGGATCTCCAGTTGTTCAGCCTCAACTCAGACGTTGTTCGGTTACCAGAGAGCGTTGAGAGTGTTTTCGCGGGAGCGCACCAAGGCCCAGCAACGGAGAGACGGGGCGGAGGGCGGAGCAGCAACCAGGGATGGAGCCAAACAAACGGCGAGAGCACAGAGCTGTGGTAAAGGGCCGAGGAGACTCGGGCGGCCCGCTTGGATCCCCTTAATAAGTACTGTAGGACGCACGATGGAGACGGGCGAAGCATCCGTTTTCACGCGAGCGTACGAGGAATTGTACACCAGTCGGGCCCTTTATCACCGCCTGTCCTCGTGTTCTTTTCCAACCCCGGCAAAAAGACCCTCTCACCTTTGGCCTGGACGTACATGGCATCCTGCTTTTTACAGTACGACGTTAGCAGGCACACGTGGCCACAGCGGAGCGGAAAGCCAGCGAGCCAGGGGAAAGGAATCTCTGTTCTAGGGCTCTTGGGCCTCCCTTGTTTGGTGAACTTTTTTTTTTTTTAAACTAATGCCTTATACCAAAGTCATGCCAAACACTGCAAAGTAAAAAAACAAAAAACAAAAAACACATTATATACACCGATGGATCATTGAGTAAAGAGATCATAGTTGAGTATCGCATTCATTTTTACTCGTGGACCTTTTTTCAGTAGCCCTCTGGGAAAGTTCCATCGACGTAGAAGGATTGTTTTGTCCGGATTATATCTCATTTTTTGTAGTGAGTGAATCCTCAGGCTCAGCTGACAGATGTGTATCAGTGTGTGTAACCGCTGCACAGGAGGCCCACTGATGGCACACGTTTCGCTGGGACTTAATAAATGGGCAGATAAATTGGAAAGACAGTACTGTAGGACGCGATTTGGCTTTTGTTTCAGTTGCCAGAAGAGTTTCACCCATGAAGACCTTTGAACACTGCACAACAATTTTTGTCATGTAAAAAAAGTGGTTTGGCAAAATGGTTATGTCAATGGTTATAAAGGTGGACACAGATAACTACTGAAGTATAATAGCATAGAAATATTTTCTCAGATTTGTCTTTTTTCTTTTTCAAGAACTTATTACACGTCTTTGCACCCAATAAGCATAAGTTGATCAACCTAAAACATGTGTTGATAATAATCATATGAGTTAAGTTGTATACAGGAGTAATTTCTAGGATTCAGAAGGGAATGGTGGAGGATTCCTCGATTCTTTGCACTTCAAATCAAAATGTGTGTTAACACACATTTGTACCCCTCTGCCCCTTACCTGACTAAAAAAAAAAAGTCTTTGGAATGTTTTTAATTATTATTTTCTACCCACCAATTTAGAAAATGTTGTGCTCATTTCAACTTTTCATTGTGTCTTATTTTCTATTCTCGGGTGGTGATCTTAAATCTTTGTGCTGTCAAAACTTTGGGAGGAAATGACCAAGTAAGGCTGGTGCAGCTTGCCGGTGCAGCTTTCCACCACTGGGGGGCAGTCTGCATCGTGAAATTGAATGTGCGGGTGGAACTGATTGAAGGTCAACGTGCTTCCTTTTTCCTCCTCGCATGATGCGATTATGATTAAGGATTTTGAACAGAAATAGAACAGCCAGGAAACACTTGAGCTACGAACGCTCACGGGAGGAAAAATCCGTTCTGAAGTGCTTCTCTTGGAAACGTCTTTGATTGTGTCCTTTCTGTCATTTACAGGGTCATAATAAGAATTTTAGTGCTTGTGGGCTAAGGACTCGGTAAACATTGTCATACATTTCAATAACTTACGTAAAGAATGGCAGTAAATGTCGAGATGTGCAAAGACCCGTCCCCTCTGACGCCCTCCTCCATCATTCCCATCAGGCTTTGCGCCAGACTCAAGTCACAGGGACATAACAGTATGCCCTTCACAAGTATTCACAGATTGAATCACCAATACAGTATAATGCATTAATCACATTTCATAATGAAACATTCATATGTTATCTACACACTCATTCAGAACCTTTCCTCTATCCACGTAGAGGGAATCATATGATGCTTCTCTCAATATCATATCAGATATTGTAGGTTCATAATTTTTCTCTCTATACTGTATGTTTTGTTCCAAAAATAAATCATGACCGTGTGTTTAGACTGTCTGGACAGATTTTCGGTTTCGCAAACACACATCTCCTGCTGGGAGAATTGAATGATCAGAAGGGAGGGAAGGAGAGAGCCGAGTGTCAAATGGAAAGAGATACTATCTGGAGAGGAGGAAGAGCGGTGTGAAAGGAAGGGACGCATGTGCACCGTGGTGTGTAAGAGCAAGTGACTGTAGCTGTGGGAGGAGAAGCGTTCAGAGGGAGGACTCGTACTGCAGGAGTTCATAGAGAAGCGGACCGTCCCTATACCTGATGCCCACCGCGTTGGGGCTAATGTACTGCAGCACGTTTATGGTCCTGCGCAGGCGGCGATCCACAAAGTGTGCATCCCAGGCCGGGTAGCGTTTTCTGGGCATGTCTATCTTGATGAGAGGACCCTCGGGCTGGATGGGCCTTCCAGCTGCGTCCACGGGCTCCGTGGACCTCACCTGGAAAACCGGAAGGCAGGTGTCCGTGGGGGTTTCGTCGGACTCCTCGTATTCCCCTGCCAGGCCCCGCGTGGGGGTGGCCTGAGAGCCGCGGTGGCCCGGTGTGGGAGCCATAGGCTCGGCCTCGGGGGGTAATGGAAGGCCCCACAGAAGCTCAGCACAGCAGGAGCTGGCCAGCACCCTCAACCGGGGGCCCATCGGGTGAAGGACCCCGTAATATAGAACCATACAGGCCACACCTGAGGCAAAGCACAGGAAGACACCACAGAGGGCAAAGGAGGCGTAGGCGTCAGTGGTGACTGGGTCACGGTACGCATACCAAAGGAGGCTGAGGATGGCGTTCTCTAACAGTACGAGTGCGTAATAAGCCACCATTCTGCACCGGGTCCGGCCCGCTCGTACATTGAACCAACAGAAGACGTAGACCACGGCCACCACCATGTTGAACAGGACCTCCTCCCACTTGGACATGCAGAAGTCGGTGCCGCCATGGATGACCCAGAAAGCCATGGCACACCAGTGGAGCACCACGAAAATGCCAAAGTAGATGTGGAACACCGAGGCAAACAGAGCGAGGGAGAGCACCCGGGAGGAGATGGTGAAAAGGCGCCAGAACAGATGCACCAGGGCACCTCGGTAACTCATGCTCTTCTTGTCGTCGCGTGAATCGCGCAGGAGTTTGTGGTAAGAGGCTAGCACCCAGGCCAGGGACAGAAGGGAGGAAATGGCAGAGACACCTGGGAATACAGAGAAAGAGAAAGAGGGTAAAAGAAGAGGAAGACCACGAAGTGGAAGACTGATGCTGACAGATGCTGTGAGATGGTTGGTGATTGAAATAAAAAAACCTGCTTTCTTTTAAAGCTTCGCCCAAATGGCTCCGGTTTTATCCTGACTTGGCTGCCGTTCCACTTACTGTACACAGTGCATTTTTATTTCAGAATGCCACGTTATTATCATAGGGCAGTCCGTCAACATGGTCTCCAATTAGGGTCCCAATTCAGATGTCCTTAAGACATGTCTGATAGTGGAGACAGCAGATACGTCAGAGCAGTAACCAGCGTGTGGCTTCACACACATACAGGCAAGGTCACACTTTTTACGTTTCAATTTTCCTTCCTATTGCATCACAAAACTAGAAGTGCAAATGAGGTTGTAGACAGAGACAGCGATGAATGTTGGAAACCGGAGGCGACGGTACGCTGTGAACAACGGGATATGTGAACGTCACAGAAAGTGGACCGTCAAAGTGTTTGACAATGCAAAGAAAAGACAACAAAAAAAAAAGGATATGAGAGACTGCACTGAAACCAGATGTGACCCGAGAGCCTGAGGCGAGCCCTTACACTGCAGCCACTCAGCCTTGTTGCTCTGGATCATGATGCAGAGCTGCAGCACCAGCTGAGGGGCACTTTCTAAGAAGGTCTCTAGCAGTCGCAGCATGTTGACATCGGCATACTCGTACATCATGGCCCAGTAAAAGCGCCGCTGGTTCTCCTTCTGCCGGTGACTCTGTATACCGAGGTACATGGTGCGGATGTACCTACAGAGGGGGGGAAGGACGGACAGTTAGACAGTTTAATAACAAATGTTTTCCTCCTGTTGTTCCATCTTTGCTACCAAAAGAACAATCTGCATTCATGAGGAGTCTAGATGTTTAATGTTGAATACAATTGACTTCAATGAAATAAATCCGTAAAAATTTCAATTAACACCCAATAGCCTTTAACAGAAGAATGTAGTTATAAACTAAAAGACAAGTTCAAGTCTTAAGAAAACTCCTCCTGCCGGCTCCCAAAGCAACAAGTAACTCCTCGCATGTTGTCAGCTGGACTGGCTATTTCCACGGCGATTTCCACGGCGGCGTTTGGTAACGGGGGAAGCGGCACTGGTCAGGGAGACGAGGTACAGCGATGCGGCTGAGGAGTCGTTTTTTAATTGAATCAGGCTCCCGTCGACATCAAAGCTGCACCACTGCTTTCATGGCATTGTGCACTGCTGGGCACGAATGTAATATGCCCCAGGCTGTGATACAGCTAATTAGGATCCTAATCTTCTCTGGGTATGGATTTTGTATGTAACACCCACCAATTAGGACGCGGAAAAGGACGATGAGTGAATGTGAGGAAAACATTTAGCGGACTGAAGCTTTGAACAGGGACATCACACCGTACGCTCTTCAGTGCACGGTGAAAAAAACACACACACAAAAGAACACTTCAATCCACCCGACGAAACGAGGTAAAAACTGCAGCCTGGCTTCATTCTCTCCAATCTGACTACTTCAAACATGGTAAAAATCAAGAATGACAGTTATGGTGCTTAGTAGTTATCTTAACGGTGGATTTAGCCGTTGCGTTTTGGGTGGTACCTGCAGGGCTTATCTGCCTGAGCCGGCCACGAGTGGCCACATAAATCCAGCACTCGATGTGAAGGCAGTCAAGCGAGGACAGTAGCGTGGCAAGGACAGAAATAGACCAGACAGAAACACTCGCCGAAACAAATTGGGAGGCCATAGATCTAAATGCAGTTCCTAAAAGTGAGACACAAATGCACCGCAGCACGGCCAACGAAAACAGCTGCTGCTGAGTGGTTTTAAACACAATTAGCTTACACATTAGCTATTGGGAAGGAGATTACTGTTTAATTTGAGTGTTGCTCTCTAAAGACGGCATTGTTTAGTCCTGTCTGGTTGCTTTTGGTTCTTTTTTTTTGGGTAATTTATCCACTTCTTATTCTAGAATGCACAACTCACTAGTTAAATGTGATGCTGGGATAATGAAGTATATCAGTTCCACATGGAAGGGTTAAGGGGAAATTGTTAAAATTATTACGAGACTAAATGTTTACACACTATTTATCCAGAAGTAATTGAATTGTTAGTTTTGACAAATCGTCCATTGGACTTTTATTGTGTTCACTAAATAGCCGTTTCATTTCATAGTAAGAAAATCAGCAAACTCTGGTTGGAGATCACACATAAAAGATGGAAGTCCGAGCACACACCGGGAACTAAATTGGATTTGTTGTTTTTTTCTGGCCCACAACAAAGCTGCTTCCTTTTCCCTTGTCTTTTTCTGACAAAATTGGCCAACCTCTGCGTGGTCCCCTCAGCCAGCGAGTCAGTCAGTCAATTAACTAACCTGAAAAGACAGCCAGCGCTCCCCTCGAGGTGGGAAAGCAACCGGGGGAATGGACAAAAACAAAAGCCGGACACAGCAGCTGGAGCCACAACTTCAGCGTCCGGGTGACGGAGTTTAGCGGGGCAGGGATGGGGATTTTTCACGGGTAAAATGGACAGGAGGTTTTTTTTTTGGGGGGGGGGGGATCAATAGCTCTGGGCTGCAAGAAGCAGCGTTACATCCAGACATAAGGCTGGCATTCCGTGACATTTGCAGCTGGACTGGTAAATGTCAGATGGAGCAAGTCAACCCCCTCTTCCTCAGTAATGACATGAGACCCGTGCACAGGCCCTTTGTCTCCATCTCCCGCCTTCCATTAGTCAGCGTGTTCCACCTACACGTCTCACTGGTCTGTGACAGTAGTCTTCTTGGTCTCAATAGCTGTCTCACTTTGAAAAAACAAGACTCTGCCGCCATGTGAGCAGCTCTGTAAGCGCTGAGCTAAAGGCTAATGGCGCCATGCTAACATACGTTTAGCAGGTGTAAAGACGTTGTACAAATAAAATGCTTTGACGCGTTTAACACGTTGACTGGATTAAGATACTTTGGTGCCGCCAAAGTAAAAGTCATGGGATTCCCAAAGTGAATAAGATGCATTTGATGTTTTTACAGAATGTTGCACCAATCCGCTGAGAACATGTCGACATATTTCACAGGCTAAGTGAGAACCTCGACCTAGATGTGGCGCTAAATGAAAAGTAAGGAGATATTCACTGATTTAGGATCAGTGGTGGTGCTCACTTGAACCTTGTTTGCCGTCCAGCCGTTCATTCATTTTGAACTGTCAGCCACACACAAATTATTCACCCTTCAGCTGTGATATTCAACCACAAGGCTCCGACTTCTCACTGCTCACATCCACGCCTTTTCTCTCTGATAGCACACTTCATTGGTTCAGATTCTCTGGGTTTCAGCTAAAAAAAAAGAAAAATAATTGTTGTACAGTTGCACACTTTGGGTTTCACGGCTGTCAATCTCTCACACACACACACACACACACACGGCGCTGCGCACGTATTCGCAAAAGCCTCACACACATCCCGTTGTGAACACACACTCTTGACACTCCCACTGTGCCTTTTCTTGGGTTGTAGTAACACAAAAAAGAATCACGCTCAAACAAACACGAGCGTACCTGTGCTGGCGATAGATAATTGTGGGATTCCCTTTCTATTCCAGACACAATCGTCAGACGGATAACTCCCTTTCAGCGCCCCCCCGGCCCCCCGGCCCTCCTTCCAGTGTAGCTCCAGAGCTCCTCTCCAAGGCTCCTCATGAATTATTTGTGGCGAGATCATGGCGATTGCTCATGGCTCGTTAAGCAGCGCGCGCATGGCCTAACAGCTCGCCGCTGTGCCGGGGTCGTGTTCCAAGCTCAGCCGTCTGCCTCTGCTGTCGAGGCGCACACACACACACACACACTCACCAGTCCACACAGCCCGTATCCTGTATTGGATATTGACTTCACTCAGGATGCCGTAAGAGATGAAACTGCAGGTTTGAATACAATTTTGCTGAGATCCCAAGTTCAGCCGACACACCGACACACACTGTCACACACTGTCACACACCGCGTGGACGGCTTGTCATTGACCGATGAGTCATCCAGCCACTGTTCCACTGATCCCTTGAGTGGGTTTTTAGAGGTATCACACACACACACACAGAAAGGCCCGGCCAAGTTGATCAGCTTCTGTCTTCTAAATGGTGCTCGTTGGAAGGCTCAGCAGCTCAGACCGCTTCCACATGAGCATGAGCTGATTCGTAAGAAGATCGGAAGCAACGTTACAAAGCAGCGTCAGCTAACAGGTGGATTCTGGCAGAACGCTGAGCACGGGGGACACATGACACACGTAAGGCCGGGGTGTGTGTGTGATTAAGAGGCAATGCCAGCTGCGGTGAGTCACAAGCCGAGGCCCTCCGAGGGGCCGCGCATCAACTCTCAACGAGATTTAAGTATCTCTCGCTCAGTTTAAACGCCTCTCCGGAGCTTCCTCCCTCTTTTTCCTGATTCAAACACCAGCTTCCCGGGTGGAACTCTTTCCTTCAATCATCCGATACTGATTATTTTCTGAGGAAAGCGTTGGAGAGTGTGTGTGCATGTGTGTGTTTGTGGGGGGTGTGCTGACCTATCAAGCCTTTTGGTCCTACCATGGTTGTCTTTGGTGTACGTCATCATTTCTAATCTAGTAGACGCACTGTGCTTCTAAAGCCCGCCTGTGTAACCTAACAGGATTCTATTTGGTCTCTAATTTATTCCTGAAACCTGCTCTCTCTGCAGAGCCCAGCCGGCCGGAAGGAGAGTCAGCGTGCGACAAAGGAAGCAGGTGGCCGGGTGTTTGGAGGTGAGGATCTGCCTCAGAAGTTCAACTCCTCTTTCTTCAGTGGAAATGACTTGAATCGTAAATCAGCAATCAGAAACACGCAACGCTGTCCTCTGATACGCTCTCATGCAGCCTCCATTTGTCTGTTAGAAACCCACATTGTAAAGGACAGAGGGCTGTCTGTACAGAAGTGATATTTAATGATGCCGATTTGTCATCATGAGGTTCATCAGCAGATTAATTCATAAGGATTCAGTGTTTTTTACGAAAAGGACAGCCGGCTGTCACACATTTACAGTGAATACAAGCAGTTGTAGTGAATGAAAGACAGCGACTTCAGCGCGTGAGCTTCTAGAAGCGCCGACGTCTTATGTCGGTCCGGACGAGGGATTTTTTCCTTCCAGAAACACTTAGCGGCTCAACGGGCCTCCCCTTTAAACGTGTACCACTGATCCTACATCAGATGTGTCTTTTATCCTCCTCATGGCGGAGCAGAGCCCTGGATGAGAAGCTGATCCCGCAGGCAAGTCGTATACACTCACGCACAACAGTCCGTGACCGGTGCCTTTGGGCGACTGCTGCACCGAGAGCTGCTGGAGTGCTGAACGGGGACCCGGGGGGAGGGGGAGGGGGGGTCGACGGCGTGCGAGCGGAAAGCAATGGGGAGCGGCGGGCCGAGATGAGAGACGTCGAGTCCGCTCTCCCCCGTCAGTTCGTGGAGTGGCTCGCGGTTAACCACCTCTGACGCCTCGACTAAATGTTATTACTGTAATTACAGCCCAACAAACACACACATGATGTCACGCGGTCTGTGCGAGGGAGTGATTTATTTATTCATTTGCTGTATTGAGAATCATCGAGGAATAATGGGCCTTTTTCCCAGAGAACATTTGGGCGTGTCACAGCAGGAAAGGTGTGTCACTTGTACAATAAGGGGCAGCCGAATTGCATTTTTAGGGTCTGATGTCGTGCATGTTGCCTCGTGTCGTCCAGCGCTCCTAATATTTTTAGATCGATACCATTGCATCATTCAAGAT